GAAAAAATCAGTAGTTTAGGGTGATTGTTGGAGTAATTTGTAGAAATCAAGGAAGGTGTTCTCATTCTAGAGAATGCTGGGTGGTCATTGTGGTGTTCTTAAAGGAGAAATTCTATGCCCGGCTGGTGTGGCTCAGTGGATTGAGCATCGTCCCATGCACCAAGAGGTCACTGGTTCGATTCCTGGTCAGGGCACATGACCGGGTTGCAGGTTCAATCCCTGGTGTGGGCATGCAGGAGGCATCCGATCTACGTTTCTATCTTTCTCCCTCTTCCTTCTTCTCTCTAAAAAATCAATAAAAAACATATTTAAAAAGAGAGATTATGACCATACACTGGGCTAAGAACAATAGTGAAGTGGTTTATATTAAGTTTATTGAGAGATTTGGATATGGATAAAGGATAAAAAATTTGGGGAAGTGGAGAAATATAAATTCTGTTGAAAAAGCTATAGAAAACTGGGACAGCCACTGGTTGGAATTTGGGAAGTGAAGTGCAATGAACTAGGGAGTATCTGAGAGGTTGCTTGCTAGTGAAAGGACAGTATCAAGAGCAGGAGGTCAGTTAGACATGGGCAGTGATTTGCCATGCTGTTTGGAATGGCTCCAGAACATCCTATTGGAGCCATCCAGTTATTATAGGAGGATACATTACAATTGAAACATAGTAGTTCAGTATTTTAAAGTGTTTTAGCAAGCTACATTTAAAAAGTGCTTTTTATAGAGAAAATATACCTAAAGATAACCAGTGATGTTACTATCTTGATCTTATTTATTTTTCTAGGCCTATTTTTATACATAGTTAAGATCATGCAGTATGAATAGTTTTTTAAAAATAATGTACCTTTGTTTAATATTATAGCATAAATATTTTCCCATGTTTTAAAAAACCTGGTTTTAAGAGCATTTAAAATGATTGCATATCTTTTGTTATTTACAAGTACCGCAACTTGCCCTGGCCAGTGTGGCTTAGTTGGAGTGCCATCCTGTACACCAAGAGGTTGTGGGTTCCATCCCCAGTCAGGGCACGTACCCTGGCTGTGGATTCGATCCCTGGTTCGAGCGTGTGTGGGAGGCAACCGATCAATGTTCCTCTCTTTCCCTTCCTTCCTCCCCCCCTCTCTCTTAAGTACCATAACTTATCTGTTTCCCAGTTACTACTTTCCCAGTTTCTGATTTTTATAAAAATAATGCAAGGCTGAACAATGAACATCGTTGTGTTTAAAGTTTTTTTTCTTTTGAGTCATTTCCTTCCTTTAGTCTAGTTCAGTGATTCTCAAACTTGAGTGTATAGCAACATCACCTGGAAGGCAGGTTAAACACAGACTGCTGGGCCCTACCCCTGTAATTTCTGATTGAGGAGGAGAGGAGACCTGAAAACGGCCTTTCTAACAAGTTCCCAGGTGATGCTGATGCTGTTGGCGTGGGGAAGCATACTTTGAGAACGATTGGCCTGTAATATTGACAATGAAACTACAGTATTGAGGTTGAGTTTCTCAGTCAGTAGGAGTGATTATGATCTTGAATGAAACTGAGTTCGTGTACCAACCTGTCTGTATCAGGAAGTTGAAGAGTGGAGAATCATATCAGCATCTCAGCATTGAGAATTTGTGCAGTTTCTAGGCATAGGAGTGCTGTTTTATACTGGGTACTCTGATGAACAATACAGAGCTCCCTTTTGGCCATCTTAAAATCTGTTTGTGAGATAAAACAAATATGACTCAAAAGTACCAGAAGAAAGGAATAAACACGGCTTCAGAATTCAGAGGCAGGTGAGGTTGTTTGGTTGACTTGTCAAAAGTAGGAGACCAGGAAGTAAAAGGTCCAGGAAGAGCTAGGCTATCTTTAAGTTAAAAATTATGACATCAGTAAAACTTGGGGTTTTCAGCCAGGCAGGCCCGAGTTCAAATCCCAGTTCTGTGCTATGTTAGCTTTATGATATTATTCTCCTTGAGTCTATTCTGTCATCTGTAAAATGGAGATGATACCTCAGGGATGTTTGTGGTGATATCATAAAACATAGCATGGTGCCTTGGAGGAAACACTAAAAATTGTTGAATAAATGGTAAGCTTTTTTTTTTTTAAATCCTCACCTCAGGATATTTTTCTGTTTATCATCAGTTAGAGGGGGAGGGAGGGAAAGAGGGACAGAGAGACATCGACTGGTTTCTTCCAGCACAACCTGACCAGAGCTGGTGACGACCACAACCAAGGCACGTGCCCGTGACCAGAATCAAGCCCGCGACTCACTGGTCCTCGGGCTGGCGCTCTAACTGCTGAACCATACTGGCCAGAGCAATGGTGAGCTTCTTGAAGGTTTAAAAAAATTTTTTTTTCTTTATTGATTTTAGAGAGAGAGGAAGGGAGAGAGAGACGGAAACTTCGATGAGTGAGAACATTGATTGGCAGCGTGCCTGTTCCCTGCTGTCTTCAGGTTGCATAAGGAGACATTTTTTCTCTTTTGTCTACTCTTTATAAACTGGCCCTTTCCACTCCCTGTGTCTGCTGTCTTGCTTGAATGTCCACAGCACTAACTTGTATTTGTTTGGCATTATCTGTCTCTCCCACATTAAAATGTGTGCTGCATTAGGCAAGGACTTGGTTCTGTTTAAGGCTGTATATTAGTACTTAGCCCAGTGTCTGGCACATAGCAGTGAAGGAGTAAACTGATGAACAAACCAACTGAGGACATTTCGGGGAAGAAGGAGAAGAGTATTGGGTCGATTATTATTTTTTTTAATATTTTTTCTTTATTGATTTTTAAAGAGAGAGGAAAGGAGAGAGAGAAACATCGATGAGAGAGAACATTGATTAGTTGCCTCCTGCATGCCCCCCACTGGGGATTTGGCCCACAACCTGGGCATATGCCCTGACTGGGAATCAAACCAGTGACCTCTTGGTGCATGGGTCGACGTTCAAACACTGGCTGAGCTGATTCTTTATTTTATACGTGGTTTTGTGAGGATATTTAACCTTAGTAGCAATTCATTTATATTTTAAACTCCTCTATTTTGAGGACATCCTAAGTCCAGTGGAATGATTTTGAATACCATAGCTTCTGCAGTGATATTTGTTGAGAGAAAAGGAAAGCATCAGCTTAAATATTTTTAGACAGTTTCTACAGAGACTTAAGTCACCAAAATTGTGTTCCAAATATTCTCCTATTTTGGAAGAGGCAGCAGAGTTGCTGTTGATGACAAGTTATTTATTTATTTCCTCACCCGAGGACATTTTTTTGCACTTATCTTCAGATAGATTGGAGTGGAGGGAGAGAGAGAGAAACATCGACGTGAGAGAGACACATTGACTGGTTGCCACCCACACAACCCCAACCAGGGCCGGGGACAAACCACAACCAAGGCACATGCCCTTAGCGGGAACCGAACCTGGGACTCTCCGGTCCGCGGGCCAATGCTCTAACCGCTGAACCAAACCAGCCAGGGCGATGACAAGTGATTTATAGGGTGGCATGTAATTTATGTTGTTTACTCTGCCTCTGTATCAAATAAAAACATTTTAAAATTGTTTTTTATTTTTATTTATTTTATTTTTTAAATTTATATGTCTTTATTGATTTTGAGAGAGAGGAAGGAAGAGGGAGAGAGAGATAGAAACATTGATGAGAGAGACAGTCGATTAGCCGCCTCCTGCTTGCCCCTCATTGGATATCAGGCCCACAACCTGGGCATGTGCCCTGACCAGAGTCAAACCAGTGACTTCTGGTGCATGGGTCGACGCTGAACCACTGAGCCACACCGGCCAGGCTCTTTTATTTTATTAAAAAAAATTTTTTTTCTTTATTGATATTAGAGAGAGAGATAGAGAGAGAAAGAGAAAGGAAGGGAGAGGGAAAGATAGAAACATCAATGAGAAAGAACACTGATTGGCTGCCTCCTGCATGCTCCCCACTGGGGATCTGGCCCACAACCTGGGCATAAGCCCTGGCCGGGAATCAAACCGGGGCCTCTGGGTCCATGGGCTGAGATCCCCATTGGGGGGCATGCAGGAGGTGGCCAATCAGTGTTCTCTCTCATCGATGTTTCTGTCTTTCTCTCCCTCTCCCTTCCTCTTTCTCTAAAAATCAATGAAGAAAATTTTTGTTTTATTTGTTTTATTTTGGGGGCAGTGATCTTTTCTTGGGTTCCAGGTCTGTCTAGTAAAATAATTAATGTTGATTTTCCCCAGGGATTAGTTGGTTTTATTACTGTGAGTTCCTGGTATCCACTGGATTGATAATCTGCTGTATTTGTTGAGGGCAGCAGTAATGGGATATTATTACTTTTTGTTCTTTAATTTGGAGTATTTGATTTTTCTGTAAAATATTTACTTTACTAGTTTTGGTTTTCTCAGGCCATTAAAACATTTCTTGCTACACATCAAGTGATAAGAAATTGATGTAGCTCAGGTTGGCAATTGGCAGGTTGAATTGGTCACCTTGATCTTAGGAACCCTCAACATACAAGCCAGAAATGCCTTTAATTTAGAAGTTAGGTCATTATATAATATGATACTCTTCGAGACATCAAAATTATATTGTCTGATAGGAACATGGACTCATGTTCAGCTATTCCTCATTGTCACTAATCTCTTTCTACATTTGGTTTGTTTGACCTAGGACCTAAAAAATTTTCACACATTGGGTTGCTTATCATATTGTCTATTAGGTCTTTATCCCTCCCTTCTTTCCCATACCATTTATTTTCTGAAGACATTGGGTCATTTGTTCTGCTGGAGATTCTAACATTTTGGGTGTGGCTGATTGCTTGCTAAGGTTATTTAATTTGGCAACATTTGACTTTTGTGTCTTCAAAACTAGAAGCTAGATCTTGATTAGATAGATTCAGGTTCAATTTGCGATTTTTGGTAATAATACTTCATAGCTTGTGTGCTGGGCACTTTGTAATGTGTTAGATTAGGAAGAGTTTGTTATCTATCTTATTTTAGTAATATTACAATTTATTAGTAGATTTAGGTATTAATAGCTGTTTTGCCTTTATTTCAGAAAAGCTTGATTCTTTGCTCTCAGACTACGACATCCTCTCTTTATCCAGTATCCAACAGCACTCGGTAAGAAAAAGAGATCTACAGGCGTCAACACATTTAGAAACACTACTAACTTTTTCAGCATTGAAAAGGTAATTTGAATTATTCATAGAAAAGTGTTGGGGCAGGCGGGACTTGGTTTGGCAAAAGCAGAAAATAAGTTTTCCCCCCATAGGTTATATATTTTTTCAATTATAGTTGACATACAATATTATATTGGTTTCAGGTGTATAATGGTAACTTGGGAGGTTACATTTTTAAAGATTTGTAATTGATATAATTAGTCATGATTCTTACACTGTATATTGCTCTTCTAAAATTCATACTGATGATTATCTAAAAAAAGGAAATAGGTATTCCAGAGGTGTCAGTGCTGATAATATTATTTTTGTGGAATTCTAACAGCGCTTTAATTAATTGAATTATTATAATGCCTTAAAGTTTTTGTGCTATTTTAGAACCATCAGTCATGTACTAAATACTACTTTTATATATGAAGACCCTGAAGTTTAGAGATAAAGGTTTTTATTCACTACCCACAGTAGTGGTCAACTGGGTCTAGAATTCAGTGCTCTTTCTACATTGAATTATTTTCACATCATAGCATAAAATATGGTCTGTTTGGGCAATAATTTTAATATCTCATGTTTTTTAGATGTAAATGTTAGATAATGTTAGATTTTATGTCAAAATATTGCAATATTGGTTATCTAGTTTCTAAACCTATTGCAAATTTGAACAGAATTGTGATAGTAATAATGACTATAGTTTATCAAGTATTTATTTTATATAATTTACTTTAGTATGGACTTTGTATATATTATCTTTAATTCTCACCATACTCTGCATAGAAGTTACTGTTATTCCCTTTTTTAAGGCCCCCCCCCAAAAAAAAATTGAGGCTCAGAGAAGTTAGCTGGCTTACTCAAGGTCACTCAGCTAGTAAAATGAGATAAAGGATTTGAACACAAGTCTGGTTCCAAAACTCGTGTTATTTCTGCTATGCTGATGGGGTGTTTGGTGAAGGAGTGCATAGAGTAGTAAGAAATGAGCTGTAGCAAAGGAAGAGAGGGGAAAGCTATAAAATAATAAGAATTAAAAAATTCAGCTTTCTGGTTTTTTAAACAAATTTAAATTTAAGGTGGCTTGTAGAATCCTTGCTATAGAGGCCAAGACTCCCATGGCCTTACATACTTCCTTTTCATGTTTCACAATGACATTGATTCATTAAGAAAATGTTAAACAATATCTAATTATCTTCTCTCCATATAAAGAAGCAGAGTAATTAGTAATTTATTTTACAGAGTTTCTATCTTAAATGTTTAATGGGAAATATATCTAATAATGTATGAGAACTTTGTAGCAGGTACTTTTAAAATAGTGTATTTCATTTAACCCTGAAAACCATTCAGTTGGTAGGTAGATTATTTCCACTTGTAGATGAAGATAATTAAGTTCAGAAGTTAAGGCCAAGATCAGAGTAAGTGTTGGAAGCAGTATTCGAGCCAAATTTGTCCGACTCAAAGCTCATACGCATCCTTTTTGTTATACCATGTTATTAAAGCTTAAAAGAAAAAAAAAAATTGAGATACCTGAAATAAATGATCAGTTAGTAGAGGGTTGAAATTATCTACTATATGTGAGACCACTCATTACTTGATGATGATGATGATGGTAAATTATTAGAGTTTTTTTGGTTTTTAAATAATAGTGGAGGGCAAAGCAATTTAAATGAAGATCATAAAATTAAATTTGTGACTATTAGCATTTGAAAAACCATTGAAATTCCAGGAGATAGTATGATGTTAAAAAGTAATTTTATGGCCTGGCCATTGTGGCTCAGTGATTGAGTGTGGACCCATGCACTGGGAGGTCTCCAGTTTGATTCCTGCCCAAGTTGTGGGCCAAATCCCCAGTTGGGGTGGGGGGCATGCTGGAGGCGACAAATTGATGTCCTCTCTCATCGATATTTCTATCTCTCTCTCCCCCTTCCTCTCTAAAGATCAATAAGGAAAAAAAAATTTTTTTATGGAGAAAATAAACAACTTTGAAATTTGCTAAGAAGTTACATTTTGTTTCTTTTATAAATAAAGAAATACTATTTTTCTAAAGTAATGAATGATTTACACAAATATGTTTTGATATTTTTCTGATGTTATAATTTTTTAAAATGTTAGATATTTGTTCCTCTTATAAGTGAAATATCTCAATCCCATTGTTTGAAGAAGGCTAGAACTGATAAAGAAATGAAAGTGATATATACCCAGCTAAATTGACCATTAAAAATAGATATGAGGTACAAACTTTCAGTTATAAAATAAATACATTCTGGGGATGTAATGTACAGCATGGTGACTATAGTTAATAATACTGTATTGCATATATGAAATTGCTAAGAGAATAGATCTTAAAAGTTATCACAAAAAAGAATTTGAAATGATTTATGGTTTATGGTGATGGGTATTAACTAGACTTATTGTGATGATCTTTTTGTGATATATACAAAAAGTAGAAAAATGTTAATTCAGATGGATTAACACCAGTTTGTTGTTACTGTAAATCCTTAAATCTAAAGTCAGAAAGATATGCCTGGCCAGTGTGGCTCAGTGGATTGAGTGTCATCCCATGGACTGTGGTCCTGGTTTAATTCCTGGTTGGGGCTTGTGCCAGGTTTTGGGATCCATCCTCAGTAGGAGGCATGCAGGAGGCAGCCGATCGATGTTTCTCTCTCACATCGATGTTCTCTCTCTAAAAATCAATAAAAACATATTTTAAAAAAGTCAGAAAGATAAATAAAAATACTAAAAGAATTCTGTAAGTACATGACTTCACATAATTTTGGGAGGATATAGTAAAATGTAAATTCTGACATATTCTGTTTTAGGTTTTATAGCTGAAAGATGAAGATTAGGAACTAAAAAAAAACCCAGGAATTTTACTATCACTTGGCCCTTATCTTTACAGTAGAGCAGATTATTAGTGTAGAAAACGAAGAGTACAACTCTGGTGATTTTTCTGGAAAGAACATTAAGTAAAAATTATATTGAGACTCCTGGAGAGCTCTAAAACTAAATAAGGCATTTATAATAAGGATACTTTTCAAAGTTCTCAGCATAACTGACGGGAAAAGTCATACCTGTGAATGTGTGGGAAGATGTGTTTTAGAGATAGCAGGAGGAAATGTTCCAAGGTTTTCTGAAATAATGTTCTATTGTCTCTCCCTGTGACCATTAAAAAAACCCAAAAAACCCACAAGCAAACTAAAATTACCTTGTTATGCTCAAAAAGGGTAAAAATATTTGTTGCCATGGAGATAGTTTCAGTCTAGATTCTTACTGGTAGTTAAGCTTATGCAGACCCATGGGGAAGTAACATTTCATATTTTCACCACCACAGCTGACAAAATTGGTTCCTGTGGCTAAGATGAAAAACATACTTTTATTTATCTTTGGTGTTCATGGGCACATTGAAAGGACTCTGTAAATAATAATTGAAAAATTCTTGCTCACCATGCCCAGTTTTTAAGTCAAGACTGAAACTCATAGAAAACAAAAGAATATTAAGCCAACTGAAGAACTGTAGTGTGTATTTAATGTCTGTGTTGTGTTTGTTTTTATATTCCTTGTAGTATTGTGGAGTCATATTTTCAAGATAGGTTCTCTTTAGAAGGAGGAAAAAAAAGTTTGTTTTTGTTTCTGTTAATCCTCACCAGAGGATATTTTTCCATTAATTTTTTTAGATAGAGTGGAAAGGAAGGGGGCGGGGGGGGAGGGGGCGGGGAAAGAAACATCAATGTGAGAGAGACACATGGATTGGTTGCCTCCCGCATGACCCCGACTGGGGCCAGAGATCAAACTTGCAACCCAGATATGTGCCCTTGACTGGGAATTGAACCCGAGACCCTGCAGTTTGCAGGCCCATGCTCTAACTGTTGAGCCAAACTGGCCAGGACAAGAAGGAGAAAAAAAAATGAGTGCTAATACAGAAAAGTAGCATTTATTAATTTTGCACAGTAATAAGATCAGATTGATTGCTGGAGGCAGGATAGTATGTACAGGCTTCTGAAATAAACCAAATTCAAGTTTCAGTTTTGCCTTTTACCGGCTGTATAACCTTGAGTTGTTGATTAACCTCTAAGCTTCAATTTTTACTGTATGAAGTGGATATAACATAGAGCATCTAGCACTGAGTAGATGTTCAATAAACGGTATCCAATAATGTCAGTTTTTAATAAGTTTTTTAGACAAGCAGGACTCTGACTTATACTATTCAGATGTGTGTGTTTCCTTATTCTTTTTTTTTTTTATTTTTATCCTCACCCGAGGACATTTTTCCATTTTTTGTTCAGGTAGAGTGGGAGGAAAAGAGAGGAACAGAGAGAGAGAGAGAAAAACATCGATGTGAAGGGACACATCGAGTGGTTGCCACCTGCACAACCGACCAGGGCCGGGGACAAACTACAACCGAGGTACGTGCCCTTAGCGGGAACCGAACCCGGGTCTCTCAGGACCGCAGGCCGACGCTCTAACCGCTGAGCCAAACTGGCCAGGGCTGTTTCCTTATTCTTTAGAGCCTCCAGAAAAGATGAATCCCTAAGATGTTTGAATCTTCTTTCTCTAGTTGTAGATGCTCTTGAGCTGTCCGACTCTTACAACTAAAGAAATTAGTCTTTCTCTCTTTATAGGAGATACAATGTTCTAAGTACCTAGTAACACAGTAGTTAAAACCTGCAGAGCGTTTTATTAATGTCAGCTCTTCTGTTAATTTCTTTTTTAATAAAGTTTAATTAAATGAAAATTAGGCTTCCATTTTATGTTCTTAGAGTAAAATATGGATGCATTCTTTTTTAGGCATTTTAAATTATACCTGACATCAAGTACTGAACGCTTTTCCCAGAATTTCAAAGTTGTGGTGGTAGACGGTAAAAATGAAAGCGAGTACAGCGTCAGGTGGCAGGACTTCTTCAGTGGACACGTGGTCGGTGAGTATGGAGCTTGTTTGCCTTTGTGTCTGGGGGTCAGGTGTCCAGATCTAACTTGATTGCATGTTCTTTTCTGGGGGGAGGGAGAAGGGGTATTAAAGAACTGCTGTTCTTTGTTTTACTTGACCTATCTAAGTTTGGAAGCAGAAACATTCAAACAGGAGGATGTGGGTATTTACCGGCATGTCATACCAGTTGGCTACTTTGATGATTAAAATGAATTTCTTCTCAAGTGATAAGAATTTAACCTTCTCTTTTCTTTAGAGAAGGATTATAGACATCCCTTATGAGATTTTAAACAGGGAAGCTAGAAGATAAAATAATTGGCTTTTTGTATTTATTTAAGAAAATGTATTCAACTAGAAATTGTGGTTTACTTCTGGAACTTTTTGTAAAATAAGACAAAAATGGCATTAAAATTGTCAAATAGTATATTTCAAGACCTTTGGGTTCCAGATTATTCTTTCTGCTTCCTTAGTTCTTACCCCAAAGTAGGCAAAGTTACTTCAGAAGGAAATCTACATGTTGGTTTGTTTTGTTCTACAACAGACTCTAGATCATTCTCTTAAGAGCCGGAAGCAAAGAGAGAGGTTTCAGATGCCTGGAGTAGAGGCTTCTCCTGAGCAGGGGAGTGTTCCTGCCTCCGGTCTTTTCGTGGTGGTGGGTCTCTGCAGGGCCTGGGCAGAGGCACTCTGCTGGAGGGCTTCGCTGATTGTTAATGGCAGTAGGCATAGTTTATTTTTCAATATAATTATTTTTTAATAATGAAAACTTTTTTTTCTCTTAAGGTGAGCCTGACTCTAGGGTTCTAGCCCATATAGGAGATGATGATATTACAATAAGGATCAACACAGATGGGGCAGAATATAATATAGAGGTAAATCTATGAATTTTTTTAGCATATATCTTTTTTTTTTTTAAAATCTTTATTGTTGGATGTAAAATGTATTACAGATGTTCCACATTTTTCCCCCATTGACCCCCCTCCTCCCCACTCCCGCCCCCCTCCCACCTTTTCCCACACTATTGTCTGTGTCCATTGGTTATGCATATAAGTTCTTCGGTTTATTTCTTCCTACCCCCACCCAACCCCTTTCCCTTGAGGTTTGTCAATCTAGCAATGAATTTGTACTTCTTCATCCCTTCACCTTTTTCACCCATTCCCCCAACCCCCCTCCCAACTGGCAACCACCAAAATGTTCTCTGTATCTATGAGAATGTTTCTGTTCTACCTGTTCATTTTGTTTGTAGATTCCATTATTGATAGATATGTATTCCTTGCCATTTTGTTTGTTCATACATTTTATCTTTTTCTTCAAAAAGACCCTTCATCATTTCATGTAATAATGGTTTGGTAGTGATGAACTCCTTTAACTTTTTCTTGTCTGGGAAAGTTTTTATATGTCCATCGATTCTAAATGACAGCTTTGCAGGATAGAGTAATTTTGGTTGTAGGTTCTTGGTTTTCATCACTCTGAATATTTCTTGCCACTCCCTTCTGGCCTGCAAAGTTTCTTTTGAGAAATCAGCTGACAGTCTAATGGGAACTCCCTTGTAGGTAACTAGCTGCCTTTCTCTTGCTGCTTTTAAGATTCTCTCTTTGTCTTGAACCTTTTGCATTTTTATGATGATGTGTCTTGGTGTGGGCCTCTTGGGGTTCATCTTGTTTGGGACTCTCTGTGCTTCCTGGACTTGTATGTCTGTTTCCTTCACCAAGTTAGGAAAGTTTTCTGCCATTATTGTTTCAAACAGGTTTTCGATTTCTTGTTCTCGCTCTTCTCCTTCGGGCACCCCCAAGATGCGAATGTTGGCACGCTTGAAGTTGTCCTCATTTTTTTGGATTCTTTTTTCTTTTTGCTGTTCTGATTGGGCATTTTTTGCTTCCTTATATTCCAAATCGATGGTTTGCTCCTTGGATTTACGTACCCTATTATTGAAGCTGTGTAAATTATTCTTTATTTCAGTTAATGTCTCCTTCAATTCTAACTGTGTATCCATGATTTCTGACTGGTCCTTTTTTATGCTCTTGAGGCCCTCCCTAAGTTCACTGAGGTTCTCACTAAGTTCATTGAGCATCCTTATAAGCAGTATTTTGAACTCAATATCTGTTAGGTTGCTTATCTCCATTTCGCTTAGTTCTTTTATTGGGGTTTTGTTCTGTTCTGTTATTTGGGACCTGTTTCTTTGTCTCCTCATTTTGGCTGCCTCCCTGTGTTTGTTTCTGTGTATTTCTTAATGAGAGGTATGGGGCTCGCTGAGACCAGATGCTGCTCATTTGAAAGAATTTAGGAAAAACCTGAAACAGGATCCAAGACTGGCCAATCCTATGGTTAAGCAAGTGGCAACAGCTTGGGTGGGCCTGAAAGTTGGGCGGGGCCTCAGGGAATCACCAGGGCGGGGCTACCAATGTTAGCAGGTTGTTGAAGTCCCAGATATGGGGGCTGTCTGCCGGGAAGGGCTCACCAAAGGAACAAAGGCCTCTGACAGCACGTCTGTCCCCGAGAAAGCCCCCTCTCCAGCCCTCGCTCCAGTGCCAAACAGCTCAGTTCTTCCCTGTGTGTCTCTGGTGCCCCTGGAGCTGCCTCCCCTCCAAGCTCAGAGGGAGAGAGTCTGATAAGTCCATGCGCGGGCCCTTTAAGGAGCTGCCTGGGGCTCCAGCCGCCTCAGCCTCCCTGAGCCTCAGTTCCCGCTGGTTTTCCAGCCAGAAGTGATGGGGATTCTCTTCCTGGCACTGGAACCCTGAACAGGGCGCCTGGTGTGGGACGGGGACCCCACTGTCCCCAGGGAGGACCTTCCCAGCCGAGATGTCCCCCTGATTTTTATCCGCCACACGTGGGTGTGGGACTAGCCCGTCCCCTCCGCCCTCCCACCAGTCTGCATGCGGCTGCTGCTTTAATTCTGTAGTTGTAGTACTTCCGTTCAGCTTGATTTCAGGCGGTTTTGAATGATGGGTGTTCTGTAGTTTAGTTGTCACTTTGATGTGGTTGTGGGAGGACGCGATACCGCGTTTACCTACCCGCCATCTTGACTGGACCTTAGCATATATCTTTACTTTCAAATTTCTGTTTTTCTTAAATTTATTGGAGTAACATTGATTAATAACATAAATTTTAGGAATACAACGTCTGTTTACTCAGTTGTATGCTCACCACCTGAAGTCAAATCTCCTTCTGTCACCATGTACTTTGCCCTCCTCATCCCCCTTTGTCCCCTTCCTCTCTAGTACCACCTTTCTGTTGTCTGTCTGAGTTTGTCTTTTGTTTGCTCGCTTGTTTCTTTTTGTTTTATATCTCCCACATGAGTGAAATCATATGGTTCTTGTCATTTTCTGTCTGAATTATTTCACTTATATAGCTCTGATTCTTAAAAAGTTGTTTCTCAGCCCTGGCTGCTTTGGCTCAGCGGTAGAGTTGTCAGCCTGCGGACCAGTGAGTCGCAGGTTTGATTCCGGTGAAGGGCATGTACCTTGGTTGTGGTTTGTCCCTGGCCCTCACTGGGGTCATGTAGAAGGCAGCCAATTGATCTGTCCCTCTCACGTCAATGTTTCTCTCTGTCTCCCTTTTTCTCCCTGCTACTCTATCTGAAGATAAATTGAAAAGTATCCTTGGGTGAGGATTAAAAAAAAAAAAGTTGTTTCTCAATTGTTTTAAGAAGACAATGGTCTGTGATTATAGTTCTCTTCTTGTATTTAAAGTTTTCTGACCAGGAAAGTAGGCAATTTTTTTTTTTTTTTTTTTAAAGTAAAAAAAGGTAATAATTTTTACAAGTAGCCAAGAAGCTATCATAAGATGCACCCTGTATTTCTAATACCATAATTGAATAAAAGTCACATTGGAGTGGATAAGAAGAGAAAACTTTCTTTCCCTTCTGATTCATTTTTTTGTCCTTATTTAAACCTCATAGGGAGAGGGACTAGGGGGCCGGAATAGATAAACCAAAGAACTGATAGGCATATATGCATATCCAGTGGACAGACAACAGTGTGGTGGGGAGGGAGGGGGGCTGTCAGTGGGCGGAAAAAGGAGAGACATCTGTAAAACTTTCAACAATAAAGATAAATAAAAATTATAATCCTACTGTAAATGTACACATTCTCAAGGGTGGAGGTGAAATCTTATTTGTCTATTTCTCCTTTCTCTCCTAGATGCTCTTGAAATGCTCAGTAAAGGGTAATAGTTTATAGTCTGAGAGGTTAAAAGAGGAAACCGTAGGAAACTTGGGCCCTGGCTGCTCTTCCATTGAAGTACTGTCAGTGGAAACCAAGACTACTGGTCACATTTGTGAGGACACTTAGCCATGTGTCAGGTATTAGTCTGGAAAACAAAACATTTGTCACAGATTTGTGGGTGGAAGCGATTCTGTGTTTCTAGGAAAATGAGAATACTCTGGGTAGTGGTGATATCACTAAAATAGAACACCTGGAGGAAAACTGTAATTAAGATTGGTTAAAAAGAAAGTTTGAAGTATATTTCAGTCAAAAAATCTCATGTCTTCCTCAAAATCTCTTTCATATAGATATTTGGTTTTCCAATTTAGGGTCCAGTCAAGGTTCTTGCCTCTTATTTAGTTATTTATCGGATGATTTTTTTTTCCCAGTAACTTATTAGTAATGGTGATAACAGGATTTGATTTTATTTTATTTATTTTTTTGTGAATCCTCACCCAAAGATATTTTCCCATTGATTTTTAGATAGAGTGGGAGGGAGGGAGGGAGAGTGAGGGGGAGGAGAGACAGAGAGAAATGTAAGAGAGACACATCAATTGGTTGCCACCCACACAACCTTGACTGGGGTCAGGGATCAAACCTGGAACCCAGGTACATGCCCTTGACTGGGAATCGAACCTGTGACCCTTGGGTCTTTGGGCCAATGCTCTAACCGCTGAGCTAAATGAGCCAGAGCTATTTTTTATGTTTCTGTTGATTTTTTTTTTTTTTGAGAGAGGAAAGGAGAGGGGGAGAGAGAGATAAACCTGTGCCCTGACCAAGAATTGAACTGGTAACCTCTTGGTGTATGGGACTGTGCTCAGTCCACTGAGTCACACAAGCTGGGCATAGGAATTGCTTTTAGTAGTAGTGATAGTAACTGCCTTTATTTTGAAATCTTAATATATAACTAAATTTGTTATTTTACATTATTTTCAAGATAGGTATTTTCACTACTTTACCAAATGTAAAAGTTATGCTCATAAGTTACTTATCTAAAACATGTGGTAAGGTATAGTTGAGGTTTGAACCTAGGTATCTGTGATTTCAAAGCCTGCTGTCTTTTTCTCTGCTAGGTGGACTATATTACAAAACTGCTAATATGAATTTAGAAATGTTTGTACCAAAAGATAAAAATTTTCTCTTTTTCTGTTTGTAGGCCAGGTGAAGGTTTCTATAGTGAAGAGCTGGCTAGTTGACTTTGAGGTCTCTGTTAGTCCTGAGGTTCTATCACCATTGTTTCTTTTTTTAAAATTTATCTTTATTGTTGAAAGTATTATAGATGTCCCCACTCCCCCCTCCAGAGATCCCCCTCCTCCCCACACCTGCCTCACTCTGCTATCCCCACAGTATTATCTGTATCCATTGGTTATGCAAATAAGTTCTTTGGTTTCTCTCTTCCCCACCTCCTCACTTCCTGCTGAGGTTTTTCAGTCTAATAATCAATTTGTACTTCTTAATCCTTTCACCTTTCCCCCCATTCTCCATCCCCCCCCTTACCTGGCAACCAACAAAAAAGTTCTCTGTATCTGAGTCTGTTTCTGTTCTGCTTGTTCATTTTGTTTGTAGATTAAATTGTTGATAGGTATATATTTATTCCATTATATTGTTTATATTTTTTATCTTCTTCAAGAAGACCCTTCATCATTTCATATAATATTGGTTTGGTGGTGATGAATTCCTTCAACTTTTTCTTGTCTGAGAAACTCTTTATATGTCCATCAATTCTAAAGGATAGCTTTGCAGGATAGAGTAATCTTGGTTGTAGGGCCTGCTTTTCACTTTGAATATTTCTTGGCACTCCCTTCTGGCCTATAATGTTTCTCTTTTGAGAAATCAGCTGACAGTGTTACCGGAGCTCCCTTGTAGGTAATTAACTGCTTTTCTCTTGCTGCTTTTAAGATTCTCTCTTTGTCTTTAACCTTTTGCATTTTAATTATGATGTGTCTTGGTGTTAACTATTGTTTCTTAAATTTGCCTCATGCATGGATTATGAAAGAAGAAAATATATATATATTTAATAGCTTTATTGAGATATAATTCACATAATGTACAATTTACACATTTAAACTATATAATTCAGTGGTTTTTAATATGTTCATAGAGTTGTATAGTTATCATCATGATCAATTTTAGAACACTTTTATTACCCCAAAAAGAAACCTCCTACCCTTTAGCAACCTATCATCCTTGTCCCCCCAACCTCCCTAGCCCTAGGCAACCATTAATCTACTCTCTCTCTAGATTAGCCTGGTTATTTCACATAAGTAGAATCACACAATATATGGTCTTTTGTGATTGGTTTCTTTCACTTAGAATGTTTTCAAGTTTTGTTCATGTTGTAGCATGTGTCAGAATTTCACTTTTTTTTTTTTTTTTAATCCTCACCTGAGGACACTTTTCCATTTTTTGTTCAGATAACAAAAAATGGGAGGGAGAGAGAAAGAGCGAAACATTGGTGTGAAAGGGACACATCAAGTGGTTGCCACCTACACAACCCAACCAGGGCTAGGGACAAACTGCAACTGAGGTATATGCCCTTAGTGGGAACCAAACCCGGGTCTCTCTGGACCGCAGGCCGACACTCTATCCGCTGAGCCAAACCGGCCAGGGCTTACTTTTTTATTACCAAATAATATTCCAATGTATGGATGTACCACATTTTGCTTATTCATTCATCGGTTGGACATTTGAGTTGTTACCACTTTTTGGCTATTATGAATAATGCTGCTGTGAACATTTATGAACAAGTTTTTGTTTGAGCATGTTTTCAATTCTCTTGGCTATAATAAACTAGGAGTGGGATTGCTGGGTCATATGGTAACAGTGGTTTCCATAGTGGCTGTACTTTATATGCTCACCATTTTACATTTGCTGCTTTTTACCGTCCATATTCTATCCTCACCAGCAGTGCGTGGAGGTGTGATTTGTCCACCTCCTTGTCAATACACCTGTTATTGTGTGTATTTTTGATAATAGTCTTCCTAGTGGATATGAAGTGGTGTTTTCTTATGGTTTTAATTTTCATTTTCATGATGGATATGGATGTATATGCGTGTGTGTGTGTGTAAGTGTAAATTTTTTTATCTTTTTATATTTCTCACAAGCTGTTTGGTTCTGATAAAGAGACCAGTGTTCTTACACAGAAGAACTTGGGTTTGAAATAACAAACATTCTTTTGACTTGGGTACCCTTTTCAGTATGTTAGTTCTGATTTACTGTGGCCTTGCAATATTGTAAGTGAAGGTTTAAAAAAGAAAAACTATTTTCCCCAAAACTGGTAAGTTTTAGACATATTGTTACAGTGTTTTGTCTTCTCTCATGAAAATGTGTTTGTTGTTTTCTGTGCATAAAAAGATGTTAAAGAAACTAGAAAGAAAAAACACAAGAACAGAAACCTTGTCTAACTTCCGTTGCTGTATGTTCATCACCTAGAACAGTGCCAGCATGGTCAATGTTAACATGTCTTTTTGAGTCAGTGATGGAAAAGGATATGCATTCTCTCCTGGATCTTCTGAAAGATTTCATAACTCATGCAAAGTAATGCTCTTCTTCATACACTGATAAAATCAAATAGTGAATAATCTATCTATTTATTTACCAGCATAGAAACTCTGTGATAAAAATGGAAATGGTTTATTTTCAATAAAATGACTAGTCAATTTACTTAGCCTGGGAATGAATGTTATCTAAAAACAAGGAAAGGATATAAGAATTTAATGTTTAGGAGTTTTCATCTCAATTTTTTTTTTTTATTTCAGCCACTTTGGAGACTAATTAATGATTCTAAAGACAAAAGAATGTTAGTTTATAAATCTGAAGATATCAAGAATGTTTCGCGTTTGCAGTCTTCAAAAGTGTGTGGTTACATAAAGGCGGAAAATGAATATTTGCTTCCAGAAGGGCTGGTAGATGTAGAGCCCCCTAATGGTAAGCCTTAAAAAGTATATTTCAAATAAGAAACAAGCATTACAGCCATGTTCAATAGGGGTGGTTGTTAATAGATTTAAAAACAAAACAGGCCCTGGCTGGCACTGTTCAGTGATTAGAGCATTGGCCCTCGCGTTGGAGGGTCTCAGGTTCGATCCCAGTCAAGGGCACATACCTGGTTTGCAGGTTTGATCCCTGGCCTTGGTCAGGGTGGGTGCAGGAGGCAAACAATCGATGTGTGTCTCTCACATCAATATTTCTCTCTCTCTCCCTGCTTCTCCCTCCCTCTCTCTTTTTTTTCTCTCTCTTCCCTCCTTCCCAGCCACTATCTCTAAAAAAAAAAAATCAATGAAAAAATATCCTTGGGTGATGATTAACAAACAAAACAACACATGTTTTTCAAGGAGCCATATAGTATTTGGCTTGAAAATAGTTTTGTTCAGAAATTTTTATGTTAATTATTTTGCCTGAAATGAAAACCCTAGAAAACAATGGTAACAATAAAGATTGGGGAAAGGGGACTTGAATAATCTGAGGGAAAATATTTTTTATTTGCAGGTATTTGAAAATGACAAAATAATACTGTTGTAAAACAATCTTTAGATAAGTTTATATGAAACTAGTTGGTACTAAGAGAGGTCTCTAATGTTTAGAAAGAAGCAGCTTATCAGTTTGGGGCAGATCTATGTAGGGTTATTTGAAAACAACCATCTTGGAGAAACAGTCTACTCGTCTCATTTTTGAAAACCTTGGAAATATTTCTGGCATTTTAGTATATAAACAAATTCTTAAACAATTTGGTTATTTAATAAGAAAATCTGTCAACAAACAAATTTTTAATTTTTGCTTACCTTGATTTTTTAAAAATATGTTTTTATTGATTTTTTGGAGAGAGGGAGAGAGATTAAAGCAAGGATGTAAGAGAAACATCAAATGGGTGCCTCCTGCATGTCCCTCACTGGAGAAAGAACCTGGACCTCTTAGTCCATGGGACGATGTTCAATCCACTGAGCCCTACTGGCCAGGCTTACCTTGATTTTTTTAATCCTCACTGAGGATATATTTTTTTTCCATTTATCTTCAGATAAAGTGGGAGGGGGAAAGAGAGAGATAGAAGCATCGATGTGAAAGAGACGCACGGACTAGTTGCCCTCCCACATGACCCCAACCAGGGCTGGAGACGAATCCCAACCAAGGTATGTGCCCTTGACCAGGATCAAATTCGAGACTCATTGATCTGCAGGCCGATGCTCTTAACCACTGAGCCAAACTGGCCAGGGCTTGCCTTGATATTTTTATTATTACTTTGGTTAATTTGTGGTCTTCTAGAATATAGTAACAACTTCATAACCAAGCAATGAATAGGTGATTGCTTTACTTTTAAGTACTTTTTAAAGGTTGCCTCATTTTAAAAATGATAGAGATACTTTATCATGGTTTTGAATTCTACTTTTTTTAAATCACCCGAGGACATTTTTTTTATATCTTCAGATAGAGTGGGAGGGAGAGAGAGAGAAACATCGATGTGAGAGAGACACATTGACTGGTTGCCACCACATGGCCCCAACCGGGGCTGGGGACAAACCATACGTACCCTTAGTGGAACGAACACAGTACTCTCTGGTCTGCAGGCTGACGCTCTAACCGCTGAGCCAAACCGGCCAGGGCTTGAATTCTACATTTTAAAACTTCATATTACTTTTTACTTTTCTGTCTTCCTTCAGTTTTTGTTTTGTTTTGTTTTTTGTTCAAGACACCTGTAAGGAAACTAAGTTCAAGTAATGTGTATTTCAAAATATGCTAGATTTAAAATGTTACTATAAAAAACTCCTTGTTTTGATGAATTTTAATTTAATAGTGCATACAAATTCATATTAGAGCTTGTTCATCGAGTGAAGAGAAGAGCTGACCCTAATCCCTTGAAGAACACATGTAAATTATTGGTCGTAGCAGATCATCGCTTTTACAAGTACATGGGCAGAGGGGAAGAGAGTACAACTACAAATTACTTAGTAAGTATTTGATGCTGAAGGAGGTAATTGGACAAAAACAGTCATTAGGTGGACATATTTCATTTAAGAGAGTACTGCTATAATTTGAAACACAATTTCAGATGCTGTATTATTTTGTAAAATATTTGAGGGTTATCCTCTGAGGTTCTTATATTACTGCAGAGAGATTTTAGTTTCAAATTTTTTAAACCCGTTTTAACTTTGAACTGTTGTTTTCTGCACATTAAAATTTTTATGCATATTAAGTTTAGGAAGAGTTTATTGCGTAGGCCTCTCTTTATACAAGTGAATTATTTGAAAACATTACTGCTATAATGGCAGTGATCTATTGGTGACACGTGTGAATATTGTTCTCGAGTGTGGAAAGTATTTGTATGAACCTGTGTGTTTTATTTTTGCTTATATGCATATTTCAGAGAAGATGATCAGTTTGGTTTGTGTCATAAAATAGCTGATTATTGGACTATAGATGGGACTTTCATGGTCATAACCAACTGTAAGGCTAAGGTGTGAAGGAAAGATTACAAAACTATTGGCACTGAATTTTTAAGCATTTACTAATTGTAATTTGAAAAGTCAGAGGAATCAGATTTCATTCACATTTTTTATTAGTATGACTTAATTTGTCATGATTACTTGGCACTGACCAAAATGTTGTTTAGGAAATAGAGAATGCAGCTATTCATGAACGGAGAGCCTTATGCAGTAAAGACGTCTTTCAGTGATCATTGCCTTGCTTTTCCCATTCTGTCATACCCTCCCTCACCCTTCTCTGTCTTCAGTGTGAAGTGAAAGAATTCATTGTGAAGTTAGTAGGAGCAGTGTGTGAAGTCATTGTAATTCTTCTAAGTAAGGGATCTTGCTTGAAAAAGTTCCTTAATAGTGCTTTGTATTAAAGGGCTCCTCTTAATTTACTTCTTTGTTCATTACACCAGGAATATGAATATGAGAGGTTGAGTCTTAAAATTTGCATTTCCTACTCTTACTATAAGCGGAGAACAGTTTCCTACCTATAATGTGCTTCACAGTTGCCTGAACAAACCTTGTCTGCCCAGTTTTGAACAATGAAAAAGTCTCTTTGAGGAGAAGATGGGTAAACAATGCTTTGTTCTTATGTGGTGTGATCTGTCCCTCTCTACCCACCTTACCCCTTCCCAAGTGAGAATGCAGAATAAAGGAGGATGGTGAAACCTCATTTTTCTGACTCACTCTGCCTGGTCCTCAGTGCTGCATCTGTCCCGTGAGGGCTGTGGAACAGGCTCAGCAGCACCAGGCACTGCTCCTAACCTCTTTTCCAGGGAGGCACTTGAGGAGCTAAAGTGAAGACAGAGTACTTCTTAGAAGAGAATATTTTAGGTACATTGATTGGCTGTTAACTTTCATTTTTGTAGCTGACTGGAATGACAAGTTTTTTTACTTGGTATTTTGGTTCCATGTGCAGTTGATTACTTGGATTATAATAAAGTGTACCATTGTATTACTCTGGTAACAACACTATTTTTGGGGCTAGGAACAACTTTGTTAGCAGTATTAATGATAAAGAATAACATCTTTATGCTAGTTTTGGTAACTGATAGAAACTTTTATAATGGCATTTTCTCTAAACTGACTTTTCCCCCTGCAGGATTTGTTACATTGCAAAGACTGGTAAAGACATACATAATGTCTCTCTCTCTCTCTCTCTCTCTCTCTCTCTCTTATTCACACAGATAGAGCTAATTGACAGAGTTGATGACATCTATCGGAATACTTCATGGGACAATGCAGGTTTTAAAGGTTATGGGATACAGATAGAACAGGTATTTATCAATGGATGTGGCTTACATTACTCAGCTAAGTTATGTGATGTTAATATTTGTCACTCACATTCATACCCCAAAACTTAACTTCAAATATAATCATAAATAAATATTCTCAAGTACCAGTAATTCTTTTCTGATAAATTATACAGTGTTTTTATTATTAATTATTTATAGGTTGTGAAGTTTTCTTAAGCTTCATTTAGGCAGAAAGCCTATTTTACTGCTATGATCTCTCCTTTCTCTAAATTCATGGACTTTTCATCTGTCACCGTTTTCTTAAAAAAATATTTTTTTTATTGATTTTAGAGTGAGAGGAAGGGAGAGGGAGAAAGAGAAACATCAATCGGCTGCCTCCTGCACCCCCTCTACTTGGGATCAAGCCCAAAACCAGGGCATATGCCCTGATGGGCAATCAAACTACCAACCTTTTTTTTTTTTTAAATCTTACCCAAGGACATTTTTCATTTATCTTCAGATAGAAGGGGGGGAGGGGGGGAGGCGGAGGGAGAAACATCAATGTGAGAGAGACACATAGACTGGTTGCCACCCATATGACCCCAACCGGGGCCAGGGACAAACTGCAACTAAGGTACATGCCCTTAGTGGGAACCGAACCCGGGTCTCTCTGGTCCGCAGGCCGATGCTCTAACCACTGAGCAAAACTAGCCAGGGCAAACCGCCAACCTTTTGATGCATAGGACAATGCTTTACCAACTGAACCACACCGGCTGGGGCCCCCTGCCTTGTTTTCTTTGTCTTCAATTACATTTTATGTCTTTAGAATCCTGGCACATAGTGTTGTATCTTTGGTCAGAAAAGTTGCTTAAAACTACTGTATACATTGCAGGGCATTTATACATACAGAACCATTAGGTCTCTTCCCCCCAGTCTCCTGATTTCTTACATATTCCATTAATTGAATATTGTTCAGCCACGATGTGTTAATAGCATCTTAATGTACCATAATAAAAATTGTTCCAAATTTTTAAGACTGGTTAAAAAGACTGTTCTGAAATTGGGTATTGTTTTGGACAGACACTTTGATATGGAAATTATTGTTTATATTTTTTTCCAGGCTCTTTGTACTAAATTAGCCATATTTTTATAGGTTTTATAAATAGAATTTAGGGATTAAAAAAACCCTTGAAATTATACATCATTCTTATAAATGTTAAACTTTTATAGTATTTGCATAAAACTAAGAGAATTATTTTTCCCTTTTCCATTCTTTTACTTGCATTTTTGTTTTTTAAGTTATTATTTGAATAGGTAACATATACAAATGATACAAAAGCCAGTGAAAAGTAAGTTTCCTCAATCTTCCCATTGTCAAACCAATTTCTTTATCCAGAGACATCTGTGTCACTAGTTTCACGTGTATTTTTCCAGAGACATTTATGCATGTATAGCATGTGTGTGTATGTGCATATTTGACACATTGGTGGTATGTTGTACTCTTTGGATTGTGCTTTTTCATTTCATGAATATGTTGATGATTATCCACTGTGGTTCATATCAAGCTGCCTCACTTGTTTAAAATCATTACAACTTGTTTAAATGTTAGGGGACCAGTAAATAAAGTTTTATGGTTTTAGAATTTGGAACCAACTGGAATAAGAGGTATAATACAGGAGGTAAAAATATTAGTTGCTTTAATGATAACAGATGAATTGAAAGATGTGGTTTAGATGTGCAGTCACAGTAGGCTTCCTTTTTCATCCCAGAGTTGACCTTGACCACCCGCCAGCAAAACTGCAAAGCCCACCCCAGTGAGCTTACCACCTGGTGGCAGAGCACACCAGAATGCGCCAGAAACGACCGTGCTGAGCATGGCTTTGTTCCCTGTTTTGTTTTAAGCAGGATTAATTTGTACTACATGTACAAGGAACAGCGCCCTGTTCTTTGTAATCTTTTATTCCTGTGGTATACAGTGATGTACATCTTATTCTGCATCTCTGCATCATAAGTAACTTATGTCTATAGTTGAAATAAATCATTTAGGCTAATGGAACCTAAGTTCTCATTTTTTTTCAACTAAATATGGAGAAAATGAAAATTTGGGAGTACATTTATAAATTTATAAATCATTCATTGACAAGTTTTCCATATCATTTGCTTCTCACTTTGTTTTAAACTGGAGTATTTAGAGATGAAGAATTTTATGGAATTCTAGTTCCAAAACATATTTTTTCTAGAATTGTTGTCTTTTTTGAATATCTAAAACAATGCAGCAATTTAATTTTGGGACTTTTTTTGAAGTGTTCTAAGTATATTATCTCTTTAAGTATAGATTCGCATTCTCAAGTCTCCAAAAGAAGTAAAACCTGGTGAAAGGCACTATAATATGGCAAAAAGTTATCCAAATGAAGACAAGGATGCTTGGGATGTGAAGATGTTGCTTGAGGTAGGTTATGGAGCCCTGGATGTGATGCTGTTAATGCCACTGTGGTTTCTGTGGAGTGAGTCATGTTTGCGTTAACGAAGGGATGTGTTAGAAAAGGTGCTTGAAAACCAGGAGCAGCCCACCTAGCTGATCCAGCAGTCACCTTGTCCCCTGCAGCAGGGCCCACGGCAAGAGGGCAAAAAAGCTGTGCAAACGGAAAGTGCTGGAGAGCAGTGCTTCTATCCCTGATGCCTTTGATGGCCCAGGGGAGTAACGGGACTGTAGAAAATCGGTGGATCCCAGTATGTACATTTTTTGTACTGTTTTGTTGGTTCAGGTCTCTTTGAAACTTTTCAGTGAATCTCTTAGGTCAGTAGTGATCAGACGGTATGGAAAGTATTATAACTTTGAGATCTGGAAGTTCTGTTCAAGAATTTTAAGTTTTTGTGTTTTTATCCTGGTAATCAAAAAGGTAGTTAACCTAAACACTGTGCCATACGGATTCTTGCCTCGACAGGATATGATTTGTCCTGTTTGCCACATGATTTCTGTGTCTGAGTTTGTGTATACTATTGCTTTGTAAAATGACCTTCTCTGAAATCATAGTGTTTATCTTTCAATAGGTTGGTAATGTATTAGTTTCCTCTTGGTGCTCTAACAGATTACCACAAATTTAGCAGCTTAAAACAACCCTTCATTTAATAGTTTTCATGGGTTAGTCTAGGGCACAGCGTGGTTTATCTGGGTTATCTGATGAGAGTCTCACAAGGCTGAAATCCAGTTTTTAAAGCTTGAATGGAATTACAGAATATTATCAAGTCTATCCAGATTGAGGTCCACAGAGTGTCCTGTCTGTACAGTACACCGACTCACCTTTTCCCATCTGACCCCCCAGCTGCCCTGAGAGGTAGGCTGGGATGCACCGTCACTCTTCTAAAGAGCCTCGGTGAGCGTGTCAGTCTGTCGGGACTGCCAAGAATAAAGTCCACAGACTGGGAGCGGACACAACAGGAACTTCCTCATGGTTCTGGAAGATGGACGTCTGGGGTCGAGGTGTCGGCTGGGTTGGTTTCTTCTGAGGTCTGTCTTTTTGGCTTGTAGATAGCCATCTTTCGCCCTTTGTCCTCACATGGTCTTCCTTCTCTGTCTGTCTGTACCCCAATCTTCTAAGGGCACCAGTCAGATTGGATTAGGCCCACCCATATGACCTCATTTTACCTTACTTAACCTCTTTAAAGGCCCCATCTCCAAATACAGTGACATTGTGAGGTACTGATGGGTAAGATTTCAATATATGAATTTTGGAGGCACACATTTTAGCCCACAACAGCAAGGTTAAATGACGTGTTTGTAGTTAGTTATACAACTATTAATGACAACCAGAATCGAGTGGCCAGATGTCCTGACTCCTAGGACAGCTGAACCATTGACCCGTCTGCTTTCTGTAGTGAAGAACAAAAGAGAACTCTTGACTCTACAGATGCCCCTCCAGATCTCTTCTCTCAGGCTCCTCGCAGATTTCCAGAAGCCTCACCCTTTTACCACGGAACTGTCAAATCCCACTTTTAGGAATATATCCTAAGAAGCCTGAAACACCAATCAGAAAAAATATATGCACCCCTATGTTCACAGCAGCACTATTTACAATTGCTAAGATCTGGAAACAGCCCAAGTGCCCATCAATAGGATGAGCAGATAAAAAAGCGGTGGTGCATTTACTCAATGGAATATTATGCAGCTGTAAGAAAGAAAGATCTCTTATCCTTTGAGATGACATGGAGGGACCTGGAGAGTATTATGCGAAATGAAATAAGCCAATCAGAGAAAGACAAATATCACATGATATCATTTATTTGTGGAATATAATGAACAAAATAATCTCATGAACAAAATAGACCCAGAGACATAGAAGTAGGGATCAGACTGACAAACCTCAGAGGAGAGGAGGATGAGCAGGAGAGATAAAACAAAGAACTTAATGCATATATGTATAACCAGTGGATATAGACAACAATACTGTGAAGGGGAGTGGAAACAGGAAGGAGGGTGTCAATGGGGGGAAAAAAGAAACATCTGTAACAAAAATAAATTAAAAAATAAAGGTTTTTATATTATTATTATTATTATTATTATTTTAATCTTTACCCAAGGACATTCTTTCCATTGATTTTCAGACAGAGTGGGAGGGAGTGAGGGGGGGAGAGAGAGAGAAAAACATCCACATGGGAGAGACACATCGATTGGTTGCCTCCCCATGACCCCAAACAGGACCAGGGAGGAATTGCAACCGAGATACACGCCCTTGACTGGGATCGAACCTGAAACTCTTTGGTCAGCGGGCCTATGCTCTAATTGCTGTGCCAAAACCGCCAGGGCTTATTTTATTTTCTTAAATCTCACCCCAGGATATTTTTTTCCATTGATTTTTATTTTTAAGAGATTAAGAGCGAGTGCGGGGTGCGGAGAGACTATTGGTTGCTTCCTGCACAAGCCCTGACCAGGGCTGGGGATCGAACACGCAACACAGGTACGTGCCTTTGGCCAGGAATCGAACCGCTGACCCTTTGGTTTGCAGGCTGATGTTCTAACCATTGAGACACACCAGTCAGGGCTCAAGGTTTTTATTTTAATTTTAATTAATTTAATGTCAATCCTCACCCAAGGATATTTCTCCATTGATTTTTTTTTTAAAAGATAGAGTAGAAGGGGAGAGAAACAGAAAGAGAAATCGATGGATAGAGAAACATTGATTAGTTACCTCTTGCACGGGCCCAACCAGGGCCAGGAATTGAACATGCAACCCAAGTATGTGCCCTTGATTGGGAATCGAAGACACGACCCTTGGGTCCGCTGAGCCAAACTGGCCAGGACTCAAGGTCTTTTTACATTAGAGATTATGGGTTGTTATAGTAGAGGTTTTTTGAAATAATATATGGAGCCCTTTTAAGAAAAATAAACACTCCCAAAGCACCAGTGTTTACTTAAGTGCATTTTAATCTTAACTTTAGTAACATAAAACTAAGTGTAGCCAAGCCAGTGTGGCTCAGTGGCTGAGCATTGACCCATGCACCAAGAGGTCGCCGGTTCGATTCTGTCAGGGCATATGCCCAGGTTGTGGGCTCGATTCCCAGTGGGAAGCATGCAGGAAGCAGCCGATCAATGTTCTCTCTTATTGATGTTTCTCTCTCCATCTTCTTTCCTCTCTCTCTAAAGATCAATAAAGAAAAAAAACCATTAAAAAAAAAACAACAAAGTGTATATGCTTTCCTATAAGTTTATAACTCCTATACATTGTAAAACAAAAGCAAACTTGAAAAAAGAAAAAGAATCTGCAAAACCAGTAGAATCCTTGAAAAATACTTTCGAAGACTCTGCTTTGGTGTGAGGTGCTGAGACCCCTTCGAAGAGGTCTGTATCCAGCAGAGTCTGACAGATTTGAAATGCCCCCAGTGCTGGGCTGCACGCTCTCACATAAACCCTCTTTGTTTCTTAGAACTGCTGTTAAAAGCTCCCAGCTCCTCCCTTTTGTGCTCCTCCCCCTTTCAGATGACAGTATGCTGCTCCTTGCCTGTGCAGGTAGTTGGGGGAGAGCTGTGGGTGAGGAGCATTGCCCTGCTTTATTTGGTGCAGACCTGCAATCATACGGTATTGTTCTGGAATACTTGGTTGAAATAGCACTCGATGCCCTGGCCGGTTTGGCTCAGTGGTTAGAGCGTCGGCCTGTGGTCCGGAGAGACCCGGGTTCGGTTCCCGCTAAGGGCACGTACTTCGGTTGCAGTTTGTCCCCGGCCCTGGTCGGTTGTGCGGGTGGCAGCCACTCGATGTGTCCCTTCACGTCGATGTTTCTCTCTCTCTCTCCCTCCCACTCTATCTGTACAAAAAAATGGAAAAATGTCCTCGGGTGAGGATAAAAAAAAAAAAAAAAAAAAAAAAGAAATAGCACTCGACATAATGCCATTATTAATCTAATTAAGAATACTCTTCTTTTTTAAAGCAATTTAGCTTTGATATAGCTGAAGAAGCATCTAAAGTCTGCCTAGCACATCTTTTCACGTACCAGGATTTTGATATGGGAACTCTTGGATTGGCTTATGTTGGTTCTCCCAGAGCAAATAGTCATGGAGGTGTTTGTCCAAAGGGTAAGTTCCCCATTTGTTGTGTGACTATGTGAGAATACTAGGCTGATTGGCTTGTATTGTAATTCTGACTGAACAAGCAATTTGTCTGTTTCTTTTCTCCTTTAGCTTATTATAGTCCCATTGGAAAGAAAAATATCTATTTGAATAGTGGTTTGACCAGCACAAAAAATTATGGTAAAACCATTCTTACAAAGGTATGTTCCTTTATTTCTTAAAAGGATAGATTTTTGTTTATTATGGTTGTTGTATATTTATGTAGATATCTCTAAAAGAGTAATACATACTGGGTTATTTTCTTTTTCTTTCTGCCTGAAAAAGCACATGTTCTTTGGTGGGAAATATGAAAATAAAAGGTGTAAAGAAGAATATAAAAATTACCAGTCAAACTTTTTTTTTTATCCTCACCCGAAGACATTTTTCATTTTTTGTTCAGATAGAGTGGGATGGAGAGAGAGGACGGGAGAGAGAGAGAGAAACATCGGTGTGAAAGGGACACGTTGAGTGGCTGCCACCCGCACAACCCAACCAGGGCCAGGGACAAACTGCAACTGAGGTACGCGCCCTTATTGGGAACCGAACCCGGTCTCTCTGGACCGCAGGCTGACACTCTAATCGCTGAGCCAAACTGGCCAGGGCTCAAATTTCTTTTAAGACCTATCTGGGTCATTGTTTTTCCCTAAGACAAGCCCCACCCCCCGCAACCTCCTTAGCCCTTCATCCTACCCCTGCTCTGTGGGTGCTTGTTTCCTGGTCCTGCAGTGTGGCTGTTGTCTGAAGACACCTGGACTCATTTCCTGGGCCCATGTTCTTCTTGATTTATACCATCATTTCGGATAAATCCTCCAGGAGCTTCCTAAGAAAGAGGGTACCTCAAGGCAAACTTGAGATTTTGCATATCTGAAAATGTCTTTTCTCTTCAACTTGATCTATCATTTAGCTGGTATATTCCTAGTTCCCTCTGAATTTGAAGGCATTGCTCCATTGTCCTTTAGTGTTTTGTGTTACTACTAAAGAGCCTGAAGTCATTCCAGTTTTTTATGCTTTCTATGTCACATGTGTTTTTCCCTCTGGAAGATTTAGGATCTTGTTTTTGCCCTGATGCATCCATTAGGAATATGTCAGACATATTCCAGAAAGTGCAGTTAACAGAAAATCCAATAAACAGTGACTTAAATAAGGGGTGTATTTGCCTCAGTCAACAAGTTCATGGGTAGTATTCTATGGTACTCCAGCAGCTCATATGCTCTGGGGTCCAGGATCGTCCCCTCTGTGGCTTATTCCTCATGCTTATTGCCTCCTGATCACAAGATGGTTCCCTCCTGTGTGGCAGAAAGGAGAACAGAGAGCATAGTGTGTCTCTTTTTAAAAGCTGATTTGGAAGCCTCACCCACTGGCCTCTGTTTATATTTCAGAGCTGGGTCACATGGCTGCCCAAACCTTTAAGGGAATATGGGAAGGAATACATTGTTACCTGAGCAGAGTTAAGGATTTTTGAAGGATCTGATTAATCAGGACCCTATTTAAGACAACAGGGTGCACTGGCCTAAGTTGGTGATGGTTGGGTATTGGGAAATAATGCTTCTTTGTGTGATCTTTCAGGAAGCTGACCTGGTTACAACTCATGAATTGGGGCACAATTTTGGAGCAGAACATGATCCGGATGGTCTAGCAGAATGTGCCCCAAATGAGGACCAGGGAGGAAAATTTGTGATGTATCCCATAGCTGTGAGTGGAGATCATGAGAACAATAAGGTATGTGTATTTTGGAGCTTCTTGTGGTTGCTTCTTGTGGTTAGGAAAGAAGGCGGCTACTTAATTATAACAAGAGCTCAGAACAGGCCCATCTGAGGGGTGAACTGCAAATTATAAAGTACCTTGAAACTTGGTTGTGTGTTTGGATGAAATGTGGTGCATCTAAGTCAGGTTAAAGCTCTCGTTTGGGCTATTTGTTATCAAGATTAATCATGTAGATTTGAGTTATATGGAAAATTAATAATAGTTTAGGCTTCTGTTAGAGTTCTAGGTTATAGGATCTGGTGACCTCAGGTTTTAAGTTAAAACTTCCTGTCATTTCATTTACAAGTTGTCATTCATTTAAACTCTATAGTACTTTACAATGTGCATGTTTTCATAAACTGTTAAAACAAAAGACATAATTTGCCAGACTCTAAGGCTCCTGTGGGAAGGGCCCTTGTCTTTCTTGTTCATGGCTGTCTCCAGGTGGGGTCGTGTCACATGGTAAATGTGTATGGAGTACATACATGAACGATTTACTGGTGAGTTTCTGACAGAGTACATGAGTTTGGGATATTGTTAACAATTTCAGAGACTTTAAGAGTGGCTGTGACTGTCTCTTCAAGTCTGAACCAAGAGTGTCCATAGATGTTGGGTCCTTTCATTGTACTTAGAACTAAACAGCAACATGAAATGTGAGGAAAACATACTGCTTTTGTTGCTGAGTTAGGGCTGGAGGAGGGGCTAAGAGAGTCAGTCTCTAATCAGGAAAGGTGCTAAAGTACCTGTCCTGACTTCTCTTTGGAGCCAGGCCCCTTGGGTATTTTTATTATAACAATTAATTGATTGGAAGATCCTTTTTTTTAATCCTCACCCAAGGACATTTTTGCATTTATCTTCAGGTAGAGCGGGAGGGAGAGAAGGAGGAAGAAAGAGAGAGAAACATCGACATGAGAGAGACACACCAAGTGGTTGCCCCCCACACGACCCCAGCTAGGTCTGGGGACAAACTGCAACTGAAGTACATGCCCCTAGCGGGAACCGAACCTGGGACTCTCTGGTCCATAGGCCAACACTCTTAACTGCTGAGCCAAACCGGCCAGGGTGAAAGAGCCTTTTTAAAAGTCCAGTTAGCCTTGGCCGGTTTGGCTCAGCAGTTGGAGTGTCGGCCTGCAGTCCAGAGAGACTTGGGTTCTGTTCCCGCTAAGGGCACGTACCTCAGTTGCAGTTTGTCCCTGGCCCTGGTTGGGTTGTGCGGGTGGCAGCCACTCGATGTGTCCCTTTCACATCAATGTTTCTCTCTCTCTCTCCATCCCACTCTATCTGAACAAAAAATGGAAAAATGTCCTCGGGTGAGGATAAAAAAATAAATAAAATAAAATAACAGTCCAGTTAGCTGTTTAGGGTGATAGTTCTTGGATAGCTTTCTGAAAGTATTTCTTTTGGTGTGATTCAGTGGTCACATGGTAAAAGTCACCTTTGCAGGGTCCTGTGCTCTCCACTCTGTGGCTCCATGGCTCCTGTCTGCGTGTGGTGAAAGCGAAGCCACTTTAGCGATTTACAGAGAACTGTGGAGACCCCGCCTCAAATAACTGTACTGAGTTCCCCCATGTCTCTACCCCTTTCCTTCATAATGTCAGATGGTCTGGAAAGTGGGCTCTTTTAAAGCTCCTGGTTAAACTTCCCAAATTTATTTATTTATTTATTTTTATCCTCACCCGAGGACATTTTTCCATTTTTTTGTACAGATAGAGTGGGAGGGAGAGAGAGGGAAACATCGATGTGAAGGGACACATCGAGTGGCTGCCACCCGCACGACCAACCAGGGCCGGGGACAAACTGCAACCGAGGTACATGCCCTTAGCGGGAACCGAACCCAGGTCTCTCCGGACCGCAGGCGGACGCTCTAACCGCTGAGCCAAACCGGCCAGGGCAAACTTCCCAAATTTAGAAGGATCCATGTACGTGGTTCTGGGGAAGTTAGGGTAGAGGCTCCTTGTGAGACACTGGTCACCTTAGAAAACTCAGAGAAACTGTTCAAATCTTGGGGACCCATGAAAATGTTTAGGTAACAGTTTGGAATTTAATCTTTTAATAGTCTATATGTAATACTGTGTCTCTTAGTAAGCTCAACTATCTAAAGACTTTAAACGTGGATTATTCATATAAATAGGGAGAGAGGAGGAGGTAAACCAGAAACAGACCCTGTTTGCATGCCTATTGTGTCCAGGAAGCCCAGGGTCTTTGTCTCATTCTCTCATCGGGTGGTCCCATGCCTGGGGATCGGGCGGCTTATGGTCTGGTAGAACTCACAACTCGCCACATACGCTGGACTGCTTGTATTCTTGATGGACTGGCTGGGATGTTTGGGCTCAGCATGAGTATTAGCTTGCTTTCCTGTGAAGAATTTTAGGCTCTTATCCAAATTCACACCAGCTTTTTAGCATTTTGCAGAGGGAGGTAACTCAGTTGCATATAAAGGCATTTAGAGGTGACAGTGATGGAACCAGACGTACCTTCAGGAGGCTCTGATTGTGATTTTTACATTCAGAGTTTAGAGAAGTGCAAACACATGGGAATGAATTTTTATGTTATTTTGAGTCCTTTGTGGCCTTTTTTCTCCTAAGATGTTTTCAAACTGCAGTAAACAGTCCATTTATAAGACCATTGAAAGTAAGGCCCAGGAGTGTTTCCAAGAACGCAGCAACAAAGTGTGTGGGAACTCCAGGGTGGATGAAGGAGAAGAGTGTGACCCTGGCATCATGTACCTGAACAATGACACCTGTTGCAATAACAACTGCACTTTTAAAAAGGGTGTCCAGTGCAGGTGAGATACCAGCCACAGAGGTCTGGGGGCTGGGACGGTGGGGTGTCCAGGTCACAATGGATTGAAGATGCTGGGGCTTTGGAACTGATTAGAGGGCGTGTGTGTGTGTGTGTGGCACGTGTGCATATGTGTGTGCGTGCACATGTGTTTACCCCTTTGCAACAAGAAAAAGGCTTTCTGGAAAGTAGTTTGCCACTGTGTACTGGAGCCTCATCTTGCACTCTGCTGTGTACTGGAGCCCTCATCTCGCACTCTGCTGTTAGCACCGGCACCTCTCTGGTCTGCGGGCCGACACTCCAACTGCTGAGCCAAACTGGCCAGAGCAGAAAGCTTTAGTTTATAGTGAATAACGATTTAATTGCCTACAATGCATATTAACATTGTAAATACTCATAGAGAATAGGGCTTGGGCTGCCTAGTTTCTTGATCATTAATTACCTTGTAGGCCTGAGTCTTTTTAAAAACTTTTTTTATTGATTTTTTTTAGAGAGAGAAGGGGGAGAGAGATAGAAACATAGATGTGAGAGAGAAACATCGATTGGCTGCCCCCTGCATATGTCTCACTAGGGATCAAGCCTGAAACCCGAGCACGTGCCCTGACCAGGAATTGAACTGGGACCTCGCAGTCCCTGGTACGATGCTCAACTCACTGACCCACACTGGCTGGTGGCCTGTGTCTTTGAAAAAAAAAAATTAAGTATATGAAGCTAATGAAAGCCAAGAACGCCAAGATGTTTTAAAGATAAGTGACTTTGGACCAGCCTGTACCTACTCTCTGTACTGCTGCCTGATTCCACATTAGAATGAGCAGACAGTGTATGCAGGTGGCACCAGCACCTGGAAAGTCAGGTTACACCCAAGTGGGTGACCCAGCCAGGAGACCTTCCCCTGCGATTGATTTTCAGGGGCCTGTAACATGACTGTACAGTGTTTGCTGTCTTTTGACGTGAACTGTCTCTGCTCTTCGACAGTGATAGGAACAGTCCTTGCTGTAAAAACTGTCAGTTCGAGACTGCCCAGAAGAAGTGCCAAGAGGCTATTAATGCTACTTGCAAAGGCGTGTCTTACTGCACAGGTACGTCTTCCTGTTGAGTTTCTTAGACTACTTCGCTCAGCTGGGCATGTGTGTGTTTGGAAAACAAGATTGTTTCATTCACATGAGAACAACTCTTTTTTGCCTCATGCGGAGTTGAATTGATTGTACTCCTTAGTTTGTGGCATACTTTTCACTGGTCTGTGCAGACCCATTATTGTTTCTTTTCATTATTTGTTTCCCTTTCAGTCACTTCATTTCCCTCACTTCATTCTCCTTCCTCTGAGGCATCCCTTCTAATGTGTTTAATACTTGTCTGGATACGTGTATGTCCTTGAAACAGAATGTGCTATTTTGTGTCTGTGTTTTTAACATGCCAAAATGATATTCTACCTTAGATCTTTTCAAACTCAATACCCTGATTTTACAAATCATCTCTGTTGTGCTGTATGTTATCTGTGTCTGTATTGAGTTCTTGTTTTGGGCACCTGCCGATGGTTAGTCATGTGATTATTTTGCTCATCATTCACCGAGCATTAGCTGCTTGGATTACCTTCATCTTCTTGATACCATGGACGAGAGTGCAGGACATCCCCTCGGTCTGCTCCCGGGGGTGAGAGTTTCCTGGGTGGGCGTGGAGCAGGGGGACAGCGTAGTCATACAGGGTGGCACTGAGTTGGTCTGCAGAGCAGTGGACCAGACTGGTGGGTCTGTGCCACCGAGAGTGTGTGTGGGTTCCTCTGTCTGACGTCCTTGCCAACATCGTCTTCTTTTTGCCAATCTGATGCCTTTAAAGTGATTTCTCATCTTTATTTACATTTTTCTTAAACATCTCTTTGTATTAGCTATTCATATTTCTTCTTTTATGAATAGATAGTCTCTTTATGAATAGTTCGGTCTCTTTAAAAATTGAGTTTCATGTTCTTTTGCTATTACCGATTTGGAGGAGTTCTTGTATAATCGTTTGGTTTAAACTTTGCATATACCTTCCTTTTTCTTGTCCTTCTGGGGACAGAAATCTTTAATTTTAATGTAACCAAAACTCATTTTGTTGTATTTTTTTTTGAGTTGTGGATGGTTACAGAGATATTTTCCACAGTTGCTTCTGTTAGCTTCACAATTTTACCTTTTACATTAGAACTTGAATCTGTCTGGAGATAATCTTTAAACTGTCCATAATGTATAGATTATCCATATGTTCTGTAATCCTGTCAGTTCTTAAAAGTTTCAAGGCTATATTACTAGGACATACTGGATACACTCGCTGCAGCTTGCTACCTGGGTTGTCATTCTTGTTTGTCTGGCATGTCCATCCCATTCTCATAGTTCTATGACTTTCTCTGTCCTTTGGTTGCATTTTTAATTGATTTATAGAGATATGAACATAATCTAGCATTCCAAGCATTCATCCATTTAAAATGTACAGGTCAACATATTTCTATTTTGTTTGTTTGTTTTCTCACCAGAGGATAGTTTACATTGATTTCTAGGTAGAGTGGAAGGGAGGGAGGGAAGGAGGGGAAGAGAGAGAGAAACATCAATGTGAGACATCAGTTGGTTGCCTCCCGCACGACCCCAACTGGGGCCAGGAATCGAACCTGCGACCCAGGTACATGCCCGTGACAGGGAATTGAACCGAGACCCTTCAGTCTAAGGGCTGACACTCAAACTGCTGAGCCACACTGGCCAGGCCGACATCTTTCAGTCTATTCATATCTGTGCAGCCACCACCACAGTCAGTTCTAGATCATTCCATCACTGCAGAAAGACCCCGTACCCTTTAGCCTCACTCCAGATCTCCTCACCCACAGTCTGACTCATCTACTCTCTTTGTGGAGGGGCCTGTTCTGACATTTTGCATAAATGGAATCACAAAATGCTGCCTTTTGTGTGTGCCTTCTTTCACTCAATAATGTTTTCAAGGTTCATCCGTGTTGTAGTGTGAATCGGTGCTTCATTTATTTTTGTTGCTGAATAATATTCCATTCTATGGATACACCACATTTTGTTTTTTATTCATCAGTCGATGGACTTTTGAATTATTTTCACTTTTTGGCTACTATGAACAGTGCTGCTATGAACAGTTGTGTGCAGGCTTTGTGTCACTGCTCCACAGACCTTGAGTCAAAGTCTTTGCTTGGTTCCATTCCTCAGTTGACAGGCCCGGCCCCAGACTCTGGGCACACTCCATTGTTCTCATCGGTAGTTTTTTGTTTCTCTTCTCCTGTCGATTAACTGCTTGTGCCGCTCATTTTCCAGAATAAGTCACTTGTTCCATCCTCTCTCCCGAGTTTAACATCCTTTGATGACTTTTCTTTGCCCTCAAGACTCAGTGATCCATTCAGGACACATGTATGGTAGATGCGCAGCGTGATACGGTTGGACGTAAGTCGAGTCATTAGCAGGTTTGGGCTGTGTTGTCATGGTGGAGCATACCTGCCTGGCGGAGGGGAGACAGGCGAGAACTGGAGTCAAACAGATGTGAATTGGAAACCATGTCCTAGAAGGGAGAAGTGTATGGTGACGGAGCATGACAGGATGAGGGGTCCCAGGGAGGTCTAGATTGGTGAGACAAAATCTCAAGGATGACAAAAAGCCATCCAACCTCCCTCCCCCAAAAGAGGGGATGAGCATTCCGAGCAGAGGGACCAGCATAGAGCCAAGGCTCCGAGGCGGGAGGGCCGGCGGGAAGAAGCAGCCATCCAAGCACGGGGCTGACGGGGCTGGAGAGTCGGCGCCGCCAGCAGCCTCACGGGGAGCGTGCTTTCAGCCCGCCCGACGGCACTGTGTTGCTTTGTCAGTGCTCATAGTACATGTGTATTTTATGTGCACGTGAGGTTTCACAGACTGCACGGCAAATGTTAGTGACTGAGCTGAGGCCAGGGAGACTGAGTGTGGACACTTGGGACCTTCGGAGGGCCTGGCACCCCTCCTAGCCCTCAGTGCTTATTGGCTGGCTGGACCGGCTGGGCCATCCTTGCCTGATGGGTCACCAGGTACTTTCTGCCAGACCAGGGCTCACTGTCGGGACCATGAGCGCCGCGTGCCCTGGGGAACTGGGGGCGATGACTCATGGGGCCTCTGCTTGTCGGTGCTTCCAGGTACCAGCAGTGAGTGCCCTCCCCCCGGGGACGCTGAGGACGACACGGTGTGCTTGGACCTGGGCAGGTGCAAGGACGGGAAGTGCGTTCCCTTCTGCGAGAGGGAGCAGCAGCTGGAGTCCTGTGCGTGTAACGGTGAGTGCATGTCCCCTCCGTGGCCTTGCTGCAGGGTGGAAGGGGACCGTGTCTGCCCGGCCCAGTCCCTCCCCTTGAGGGCTGCGCAGTGTCAGCTGCTCACTGCCACTAAAGACGGTGAGAGCCCCGCCCAGTGGGGGCGCTGTGGGGTGGTGTGTGGAGACAGACCTCTGGATTCGGATGCTGACTCCTCCACCTTGTCTGTGCAAACTCCCATTAGTCTCCCTGTCTTGCCATGTTTTCAGACCATGTGGCCAGCGTTGGGTGGGGTAGGAGAATTTTGTGGGTGATGGGTGATGGAGGTGTGTCTTTGCTGCCCCTTTCCCATGTCATACGCACCATGACAGCAGCAGGAGCTGTCTGTGTCCCATTGGCATTAAACTGAAGGTGCTCCTTCAGGATTTCAGAGAGAGTTGATTCCAGGACTGGTCCATTAATCAGGATGCTCGCCTCTGTCCACTGGCTGGGACTGCTGTTCTCTGCTCCCTCCCAGGGGTCTCCTTAGTGATGATCAGTGATATCATGCTGGCCTCTCAGACACTTGTCTTCAGGTTTCCACATTATTTTTGGAACCCCTGGGTCTGAGGAGGAGCCTCAGGGATTGACTGGGCTTTGAGCTTCCTGCCCCACCCCAGAGAGAGTTTTGTTGATTTCAAAACAAAGAACCCAGAAATCACACCCCCTGGGTTGGGAACCTAGCATCCATACCGCAGAGTCCGTGGTGGTCCAGGTGGACTAACGTGTAAATGGGGAGGATAACACAGTAGATGTCCAGTAAACACTTGATTGAGGGAGTGGCAAGAGGCTTAGAGTGCCCTGGAAGGACACATACCAAGGCCCTGGAAATGTGTGATGAAAAATGACAACGCCTGCTTTCCCTTTGAAGTGTTTTTTCCTGTTTACAGTGTCCTGATTGATCTTGGTGACTATAAATGCCGACTCACCCCTCGGTGACCTTTGTCCCGACTCACTGCCAGTGACTTGCTGGACATTTCTGTTGTTCAGATGGATGCCAGTGGTTCATCTGATGCCCATCGTTCCTGTCCCCACATGCTTTCTGAGGCTGGCCTCCATGGAGGGAGTCGTTGCACACAGGCTGCCATGCTCCTGTCACACGGGGCACTCAGCCACACCCGCAGGGTGGCAGTTCTGTCCCAGCTCGGTCTAGCTGGAGCCCTGGCCTTCCAGGTGTCCTTGACACTGAGAAGCCAGGGGTTGAAGGCAGCAAGCAATGTGATGATGTTGGGGTGAAGAGGAACGTTTTGCATTACGGAGTAGAATAATTTGGCTTTTACTCTGTTAAAGAAAGGAAACTGTGTGTGTCAATATTTTTTACCCTGTGGCCTCAGAACTGAGGAGCGTGAACTCAGAAGTTATTTCTTGAGGGATGGAATATGAATAGTATCAGCTGTCCATATGGAAAGTGAAAAATTCATGCTTTTCTTCCCCTTTGGGGCACGGGGTGGGGAGAGCGGGGAAGGAGAGCCACGCGTTTGAGCAAGCTCAGCAGTCGCCCGTTGGTTTCAGAGACGGACAACTCGTGCAAGGTGTGCTGCAGGGACCACGCGGGCCAGTGCATGCCCTACGTCGACGCTGAACAGAACAACTTATTTTTGAGGAAAGGGAAGCCCTGTACAGTAGGGTTTTGTGACATGAATGTGAGTATTCACGTACAGTGTTTTTTCTGTACCAGCCAAATAGGATGTTTTTTATTTTAAATAATTGATTTTTCAAATGGAAGGAAACACCTGATGCCATGTCCTCCCCCACTGCTTGTTCTGGGCGAGAGTCTGTCCGGTGGAGTGAGTGGGCACAGCCTACAGGCAAAGGCCAGGCGCTCTCAGGAAACTCGAGCACTCTCTCCAGGGCAGGACCTTGGGGGCTTTGGCAAAGTTGGTTGGTTTGGGATAGTGGGTCCTGATTATTTGGTTTTCTCAGTTAATTATAAGATTACAAAAATGAAAGTTTTGATTTTGAAACAGGTTCTGAAGGAGTAGGAAAGATCTAGATGGAGCTTGACCCACCCAAGTCAGACCCGTTGTTCTCTATAGAAACATAATTTTATTTGTGTAAAACATGGACGAGGGTTACTGTTTGAGAGGCTTCTCCGGCAGTCTGGTTGTGTTCCAGGGGGGTGTGATCAGAATAGTCCTTACCAGAACACTCGTCTTTAACATACTGGTTTTCTTGAATTTTGTCTCCTGGTCATTCTGAATTCACTTACGAAAGCTGACTGGGCGGCAGGTGCCAGTGGCACACTCTCCTGTCTTAGTGCCCACTGCTCTTAAGTTCATGCTGTGAGAAAGATGAGCCCTCGTGTTTGACTTAATAAAGCCTTTCACGTGTTAGTTATTTTTACAAAACTGTGCTGCTTCTAAGTGTATTTCTTTTAGGGATAATGCAGTGTTTTCTGTTCATAGGGCAAATGTGAGAAACGAGTACAGGATGTCATTGAGCGATTTTGGGACTTCATCGACCAGCTGAGCATCAATACTTTCGGTAGGTGATTTCCCCAGGTGGTTGTCTTTAGGACTGCGCTGATTTCTGCGATGCTGTTTGATGTGTGGTTTCAGACTCATATGCGCTAATTCTGCAACAGAAGATGGCAATATTCACCACTCATAGGTTTGCCCTGTGTAGTGTGGATGCATAGATTTTCAGACAAGGGAAATCAATACTTAGTCAAAATATTGGCTTCCTTCTCTACTAAAACAGTGAACACATGATAGTATAAGCATGTATACTTACAGTACAGTCAGTACTACAGATTGTAAATCTGAATCCTGTTTATGAAAGAATTATTTTAAAATGGGCCTCAGATTTTTCAGAAGCAAGGATATATTATATCCTCTAGGCCCATAAGTCCCAGTTACTCCAGGGTCCTGTTGAACACTGCAACCTCTGTCATCAGGGCTGTTTCTGGAAAGGGACCTGTGGTGTGGGGAGATGGTCAGGTCTCATGTGGGTGGCAGAGACACTCCTCTTACTGAGTCAGTATCTAGCCAGCAGTCTGAGGCATTTGTCACAGTGATAATGTTCTCAGAGCATTTACTTTTAGATTTGTAAAGTATTTTGATGAAGACACTCACTCTCTGCAATTATTCGTAGGGAAGTTTTTAGCAGACAACATCGTGGGCTCCGTCCTGGTTTTCTCCTTGATAGTGTGGATTCCGTTCAGCATTCTTGTCCATTGTGTGGTAAGTCACCCTTTTTAAGTAATGAAATATTTTCTTAAAATTTTGAGCGACTCCAACCATATAATCTTTTGGAAAAATTTGTTCTTAACCAAGTCTGACCTCGTGGTTCCAAAGACTTTTTTGGTGTTATCCCTGGGAAAGCATATCTTGTAAGGAGCCTAGCTGAGATCCCCTTAAAAGAAATTTACTCTGCATGTGGGTGTTGTATTCTCGTGTAGAATTTCCGAGGAATTGTTTAGCACAGGAGACTGTTTAGCTGGATTTGGCTGGGATCAGTGATGAGTGAAGTGTCTAAACAAGAGCGTTTGCAGGCTTTGTTGTAATAGAGCAAACATCAAACACCCGAATTCCCACCATGATACCCGTCCCAGACAGATCCTTGGCATTTAAATGTTTCCAGCTAATGAGTGAGCAACCTTTTTATTCACATTCAAAATGAGTAACAACTTACAAGTTGAGTTGGGCTTTGTCTGAGGAACTCCAGGAACTTGATCAACACGGGGCTCATTTTTCAAAGATTCTTACCAAAAAAACCCCAAAAAACCTTACAGATCATTGCTCTTGCTTCTCTGGAAGTGAGGGTTTGTCTTCTGTGGAGAGAAGGAAATCAGACCTAGGCTCCCACCTCTACTGCCCCCAGGTGGGCACTTGGAAAATTCCAGCACAGCTCTCCTGAGTGTGCGCTGCTGGCTTCTCTTGCCTGGGCCACGTTGCTGAGAGGCCCTTCCTCAGGGTGGTGAGCATGATGGGTGTGGGAAGGAAGGTCTCCAGGGAGCACACAGTTCTGCTAAAGCAGAGCTGATTCTACAGTGACCTGGTGGCATCTGACAGGCGGCCACAGTGCCATCGGTATGGGTGCGCACGCAGAGTCGAACCTGCTTTGTTTGCAGGGCAAGTTACGCTTGTGGACCATGAGGCCTGACCCTTGCTTTCCGAGCAAAGCTGCCTCCAGGAGCTGGCTTGTTTCTGACCCAGAACACGTTCAGGGCAACTGGCCTAGAAGCCAGGCCTAGATTCTCAGGTCCAGCCAACTGCCTGGTGCCCATGGTCATGTGACATGTCAGCCATAGGCTGGGACCTGGGGCAGAGGTGGAACCATGTGTTCAGCCTTCTGCAGAAGTAAGATGTAGGTTTGCTGCCCAGTTCCTTCCAGAGTTTGGGCCACAGGCACTCTGGGAACAGCTGAGATGAGCAAGGCCGTGGCGGGCTGGGGCAGTGTGAGGCCGTGCAGGTGAGGGTGCAGGCACAGCCCCTCGCCTCCACCAGCACCCTGTGCCGCCTTCGCCCGGGCACCAGCAGGGGCTGGACACAGGCAAATGCCCTTGTTGTCCTCCTGCCCCTGGTGGGAAAGCACCCGGAAAAATAGCACTTAAACCTTACTTAACACCAACAAAACCCAAAACATTTCCTTCATGTGCAGAGGAAACACTTCTAGGCTGGTGGCAGAGCTCAGTTTATGTAAGAGATTTATGCTCATCTGTTGAACCTGCTATCACTTTCTACAACTCAAGTTCTTAGTTCTTCACTCAGTATTAGGAGCCTGTAAGGAATGAGCACTTAACTAGACTTTGTGGGAGTGACCGCTGTCCTGCCCTTTTCTCTCTAGGATAAGAAACTGGATAAGCAGTATGAAGCCCTGTCTCTGTTCCACCCCAGTGTAAGTATGCCATGTGAAAGAAAGCCCTTTTGAGTTGCAGTGAGACCCTGCTAAGCAAAGACCTTCTTCAGTTGGCCACCCAGCTGTGCCCCCGGTGGCTGCTGGAGGTCATGTTCCCACAGGAAAGGTCTGGGTTGGGTGTTAAGTCCTGTGACAAGAGGGACTGCGAGGGATGCAGATGTTGAGGGAGCAGTGCTGCTCGGCCCCTCCCCGCAGCCAGCAGTGACTCAGCTGGTCAGCACCCACTTAATTTTTTGAGATCTTTTTTTACTTTGAGATCTGAACTTGATAGAGTTGTTAGTTCTCTTTTGGGTCTTCAAATGGTCAGCTCTCGGGCCATTTGAAAGCTAACTTTCTAATCATTTCTGAGTCGAGGGCACCTCACCCAGTGCTTTCCTATTAGCATGAGGGGTCGTGACACCAACTCTGCAGGGCTGCTGGGTGGGTGAGCTGGAGCTGGGAGACAGGCCGTTCAGCATTGACTCCCATGTCTTTCCAGAATGTTGAAATGCTCAGCAGCATGGACTCAGCGTCAGTTCGCATCATCAAGCCCTTTCCTGGGCCACAGACCCCGGGCCGCCTGCAGCCGCTGCAGCCTGCCCCTGTGCTGCCCTTGGCGCCTGCAGCTCCGAAACTGGACCACCAGCGAATGGACACCATCCAGGAAGACCCCAGCACGGACTCGCACGTGGACGAGGACGGCTTTGAGAAGGACCCCTTCCCAAACAGCAGCTCAGCCGCCAAGTCGTTTGAGGATCTCACGGGGCACCCGGTCACTAGAAGTGAGAAGGCCTCGTCGTTCAAGCTGCAGCGGCAGAGTCGCGTCGACAGCAAAGAAACTGAGTGCTAGTTTAGGGGCGGCATTCTGAGCCCTTCGACCTAAGTGTGCAAAGCATTTTTCTAGATTTGACCTAAAATCCCTCGTAGATTTTGTGAAGATCTGGGAGAAACAAGGAAGGGACTTCCAGCAGTGCTGGTCGTGTGTTTGGACTCCTCACAGACACGCTGGGGCAGCCCTTCCCGTCTGAGCAGGTGAGGGACTCTCGCTTGTTTTGAGGCTTTCAGGTTTTTTTGTTTTGTTTTTTTAAATGTTTAAAATATCCTTCAACCTGTGGTGCAGAAGCAGAAAATACAGCTGGATTAGGTTATAAGTATTTACATTTTTGTAAATTAACCTTTTGTGTTGAACACAGCACTGACTTTCTCATACAGTGTAGTGGGCATGAGGCAGTTAGCAGGTGCTTGTGAGGACAACTGGAGGCAGAATAATTTATCTTTGCCTTCAAGTAAAGACAAAGAAGATAAAACTGAGCTGTGTAGTGGGTTCTGGTCCTAGGTATTACCCAGAGCTTTTGCCAGAAGGGAGAAGTACACACCTAAATGCAGGAATGATTGGGTCGCTGTAGCTAGCTGAACGCAGAATCCTGCCAACCGATGAGGCCTGACTTGCTGGGCAGCGCTTCAGTGTTGAAGCACCTTCATGTAGCTCTGTACTTGGAATTTCTGGGACATCAGTAGCTGGACGCTGAGGACTTTTTCTGCGACTTCTTCAGAGATGGTTCTCCTTGGACTCTGTCCACCTGGCAGCCAGGCTTCCAGCCACGCTGTTTCTGCCCGCAGGAGCTTCGAGAACCAGTAACTTGTCCCCTGGCTGTGCTGGCTCAGCCGGGAAGCTGCCCGTCTGGACAGGGGCCTGCGGGTAGGGAGTGGGGTGCCTCTAGGGCAGGGTCATTGTCTCCATAGGAAAGGGGAGGGGAGGTTGTGCTTGGTCTGGGCAATTTTGGGGCCTGCTGAAGGCTGGCATCGATGCTGGTGGAGTTGGGGTACAGTCCTAGTCACTGGCATCTGAGTCGTGTCCTGTCGGGGGGACATGCTGAGAGAGGAGGCGTTGCTTCACCAGACCTCCTCTTGAACCCAGGACTGGAGTTTGGTAGTGGGCCTGGGCTCCTTGTGGCACCGGCCGAATGCAGTCAACTTGTATTGCTTTAGACGAGTTTCCTTCTGGGGGTGGCCTCGGTGCGATTTGGTGCTAGTCAGTGTCCTGGTTCACTCTTCAGAGCTACAGGTTTTGGGGGTGGTGCTGGAGCCTTGGAGGCTGGGGTGTTGGCCCGTGTCACACTGAGTGGTTGGGTGCTGCGTCCAGACTGAGGAGCTGCTCAGGCTTGACTGGCTCGGCACTTCCCTTTGTCCTGGCAGGTGTCCTTCGGCAGACTGGGCCCCGCTCTGGGCCGTGACTGAGATGACTGGCTTCGGCAGGGTGCGGCCCAAGGGGCAGGACCTCTGGGCTAAAGCCTCCGGAGTGACTTAAACCCCTTGGCATTGACCTGCAATGGCTGTGTGCATGCTTCCTGCTCCAGTGCGGCAGGGCTAGACGGTGCGCACGTGCCGGGGGAAGGCGTGTCATCGGGTGGGATTCTGATTTCCTTAAAATCATAGTTAAGAGCTTTTCCCCTGTAAGTCCTGAAATGTGCTCACCAGCCAACACGTTAAATGAGAGAAACTTTGAGGGCAATTAACCAAACCTGTGACAAATGGTGTCTCTTTTCCTAAGGATGTTTGTTATACAGATGCCTGTTACACTAATACTTGAACTTGTACCTTGTGGTGTTTGCTGTCTTTTAACTAGTCAAAATACTCTTATGTTTTAGTTACACTTTTGGAATCTGATATAGGTGAGTGGGGTGCGTGTCTGAGACTGAAGCAGTTCCCGGCTGAATGTAAGAAAACCATTTTTTATAAAATTGACTTTTTAAAAAACAAAGCCGTCTTTTACCTTTTTCTACTTATAGACTCAACTGGCTCAGGGTGTACTTTGTAGCTGTGGCACGGGGACACCTGCATCAATAAACATTAAATATCCAAATACATAGTTGGTAGAAAGCTTCCCTGAAAAATTACAATACTTTTATTAATCTTGGTAGCAGATGTCGATGTGTTTTGTTCCAAGGTCATAAGCAAAGGTTTAAACTTGAGAAAAGATATTCTTTGATCAGTTATCTTGGGATTTTGGTGCACTGATGACGTCTTGTTCTGTAAACTAACAGCCTTCGTTTTCTGTGCCTAATGGTCCCCATCTCCCAGGAGACTGAGCTCTGGCTTTGCTTCTGCTACGTCTCGCCAGTACGGGAGCAGCAGCGGTAGGGAAGAGACTTTCTTCTCTATCAAAGGCCAGAGGTGTGAGAACACAAACTCATTTCCCTTTGGTGATAAATGCAGTCCATCTGACAAGTACGATGAGAAGTCCTGTCAGGAGAGGGGAGTTGGTTACAGGTATGTGCTAGTCCCCGCCGTGCCCCTTGACTATACACCCACCGCAGTGGTCTCTGGGACTGCACAGCACCTTGGTGCCGTGCCCGTGACATCGAGTGATCCCAAGCCCTTTGTGGACGATGGGCACGGTACAGATTGGGCTTCTGAAGCCTCCCCATGAAGACCTGAGCTGAGCCCTGGCCAGTTTGGCTCAGCGGTTAGAGCATCGGCCTGTGGTCCGGAGAGACCCAGGTTCGGTTCCCGCTAAGGGCATGTATCTCGGTTGCAGTTTGTCCACGGCCCTGGTTGGTCGTGCGGGTGGCAGCCACTCGATGTGTCCCTTTCACGTCGATGTTTCTCTCTCTCTCTCTCTTCCTCTCTCTCTCTCTCTCCCTCCCACTCTATCTGTGCAAAAAATGGAAAAATGTCCTCGGGTGAGGATAAAAAAAAAAAAAAAAAAGACCTGAGCTGAGACACCCTTCCAGGTCGTCAGTTCAAAGCAAGAGGCTTAACAAGTGAATGTGGTACAGTAATGTAATCAACAAAGTGCAACATTGGATGTGAAAAGGCCCGTGTGTCCACTTATTTTTTGCTTCTTAGTCTAGGTATTAAGTTGACAGGTAGGTTATTAGGAGGAAAGAACTAGAAAAGTTGATGGAATACAAGAGTCCGTTCCCCCACGCCCAGCTCGCAGCGGCACTGACCATTAGCGCCCTGTATCCACTGCGGCCAAGGCTCCCTGCAGCTACAGCTCCCACGGTTGCTAGTTCCCGACTTCCAGAGACTATGGCTGCAAGTCTCATGGCACTTTCCCTGGGCCTCATGTCTCATGTCTCAGGACCCCCTCAGTTCTAGGACCTCAGTGTGTGAACCCTAAAAGGAGTGTGTAAGGTCAGCTGGTCCAACAGTGTACAGCTTCCCCAACCATCTCAAGAGCAGTTTCGCACAGACAGAACCAGAACCGGCACTGGGGTGCTGCCCGTCAGCACTCGGTTCCGGGGGAGACTGAGCACAAGCGTCTGCTCGTGTACGCACACCAGGGGCGGGGCCGGGTCCTGTGTACTGGACGTTCAGCCGCCTGGAAACCGGCAGACTGTTGTCCAGGTGGCTGTACCTTCTGAGCGGGCACCAGCTTTTTACCTTTTATATTTGTAAATGGACTTTCTGGACTTAAAATAATTAGCCCTGTTATCTCAGAATACAAATTTTAGCTGATAGCAGTACACTTAAATTCATTGTTCTGCCTGGTGCTGAATTCTAACTCACACCCCTGCCATATTATGTAAGAACTGGGCCTGGCTGTTTTTATTCATTTATTGTCTAGTGGTGGTTCCAAGTCCTTTTTATTGACATAGGATTCACAGACTGACCCACAAAAAAAGGAATAATAGAAAGCTCGTGTTTTTTTGTTTTTTTTAAAACAGTGGGAGGGAGAGAGAAACATCAATGTGAGTGAGACACATCGATTGGCTGTCCCTGCACAACCCCAGCCGGGGCCAGGGATCGACCCTGCAACCAAGTTACGAGTCCTTGGGTGGGAATCGAACCCGAAACTCTCTGGTGCTTGGGCCAGTGCTCTAACCATTGAGAACACCAGCTGGGCCTGGCTGTTTTCACACCTACCAGCCGACTGTCCCCGGGCTCCTGCTGCTTGTAGCCGAGGAGCCGGGCCACATCCGTGCCGGGTCTGCACGCGTCCCTGAGCCTCTCCTTCTCACCCCAGTGTTCTTCACTGGTGAAAGGGACAACTGTCTTCTACTTAGAGCCACACCCAGCCGAGTCATCTCTGTGTGACCCTACTCACCCCAAAAGGGCCGAGCGAGCACCGTACCTGGCCGTCCTGCTGCATCAGGGCCCACAGGTCGAGCACGTCGGTCCCGCAGGCCTGGGCCACGTGTCCACAGGCCCTGGCATATTCACCAACAACCACGTTCCGGCGATTCAACTTGCAGCCTGTGGAGGAGAGAGGAAATCTAGGTGACAGCTGCTGAGCTCAAGTACTGGTCCTCATGCGGGCTCAGTGGATGGTCTCCGGTGGTAGCTATGCAGCCCGTGACTGCAGCCACAAACAGCACAGAAGCCAACGAGCCTTCTTCCCACAGAACTTTGTGGCGAGTCGCAAACTTGAGCGTGTTAGTGTCACCTGGAGGACCTATGGCCTCCACCCCAAGAGGCTGGATTCAGCAGGTAGGTCTGGGATAGTCCAAGAACATGCATTTCTACCAAGTTCCCAGGGGGTGTGGACTTGCTAATCGAGGACCATGCAAGAACCACGCCTGATGGTCCCTAACCCTGGCCCATGACAGCTAAATTAAGAAACATGTTTAACACCAGGATTCAATACACACACCCACTTAAGGGAAACAAATCTCTCAGAACAATGCCTCCTGTGTTCTAGATAGTTTGTTCCTATTCTACTCCACTTAAAAAACGTTTGTTGAAACTCACAACAGACAGCCCAGGAGCACAAGGGGCTGTGGCCTGCAGTGAGGCACCTCTGGCCATCGCTGCAGCAGGGGCGTCTCCTGCCCGCCCGACAAGCAGCCTGAGGCAGCCGACACCAGTGTGAGCAAAGCCCCACCTCGAGGACCCCACTGGGCAGACAACTTTCATCCGAGCGCCCCTTCCCTGAACGGGCTCCTCCAGGCCCCTTCCTGCTTCACCTCTGGGGGTGAGCGTTCTTCGACAGCACTAGACTCTGCTTCAGGCCTTTCAGCAGACCTTTCTCACTACCTCTGCTCTGCCGTTGCACATGCTGCCAATACCTGCCTGCCTCCCTCTCTAGCCCGCCAGGCAGGTCCTGCACAGTGCGTAAAGGTGTCTGGATGAAGTGTGGGGGCAGAAGCCTGGTGCTGGGGTGCCGCATGGAGTGGAGCTGCCGCTGCTCTTGAGCCCCCCTGTGCCAGTAAGCCTGTGGGGAGCCTTTGACTTTGGGAAAAGAAAGGTCCCCTTGCTGATGGGAGGTGTCAGGTGTGGTCGAGGAGAAAGGGCCACAAACAGAGATGGGCAAGGCAGCTGCGGCAGCCACCTCCCACGGCTGGGAAGGCAGGGAAAGACCCGGATGTGCACCTCGGGTCAAAGGCACAGCCTCAGCAGACGTGGAGGACTGCGGTCTGAGATACGTTCTGCCGCCTGCCACCTCAGTGGCACCCTGGGCACCTTGCAATGGGGAAGACACGGGCAGCAATGCCAGGCTGGGCCGCAGCCCCGCGCAGCCTGTGAGACTGGTCCCCATCAGTTCTCAGCTCTGACTCCGGGGAGGCTGTGCTGTTTTCTCTCTGTGGATCCACAGACCCCTAAGAGCGAAGCCCACAGGCGGAGAGCACCCCGAGTTCCCCAGGCAGCCCGGGTCGTCACCTTGCACCAGGCACTCCTTCTCCCAGGCGGCCTCGCAGAGCGGCGGCGGCGTGATGAGCACCACCCTGCCCTCGGGGACGCCCGCGGACTGCAGGTACTGCACCATGCTCTTCAGGTTCGCCTCGTACTCGTCCAGGGGGATGTGCTGTTTGGGGTTCTCATCTGTTCAGGAGGAACAGGGACACTTCAGGTGCAGTCTGCTCAAGTGACAGTTAAGATGAACAGCGCCGCACACCACAAGGCGGAGGAAGGGGCGGGTTCCCCAATCTGGCTTAGCCTTGCAAGGGCTGGGTCCTGCTCCGTGCAGCCACGTGGCCTCAGGCTGAATTTGTAGAGTGAAGAGCCAGGTGTGGCGTGAGACTGCAGACCCTCTCCTGGCTTTGTCCCTGACCAGCACGTGCCCTTGGGCAAATGCTCCATCTTTCTGTACCTGTTTCCCCACTGGTAAGGACACGCGGGTCGACCTCACTGGGTGTCTGAGAATCACAGCCAGCTGTGCAAAGCACTTAGAACAAGCTGCCTGCCACAAGGGAGCACTTGATACCAACGTCAGCCATCGTGACGCTGCCCTGCCCGCAAAGGCTTATTTCCAGGGCTCACACAGTATTGCAAACTCCTTGCAGGCCATTTGCAAACCACAGGGACTGTACCTACAGAAGAAAAATAGTCACTCATGATCCTTCCTACCATCCAGAAAACCAGTGGGCACTTAGATGTCCTTGCCAGTTTTTTCCATGTAGCTATGTATACTTTTAAAAAGGGATCACACTGAAGATAAATGACCATATTTGGCTTTTTCTCCCATAACCTCACGAGCATTTGTTTCCATTAACAGCCCTCAAAACATGAGGTTTAGCTGCAGGGCACCCACAGCTGATGGTCCCTCCCTTACTGTGCAGCCCCCTGGGTTTGCCGTGGGACCGAACACATCTGGCTGCATCTGCAGGTGCAGGAGTGCCAGCCCCCTGCACACCTGTCAGCTGTTACTGCTTCGACCCCTTTCCCCCGGAGTCAAAATCCCCCACAAAATCCCTGGCTGTAATTGGCATTTTGGGGGGTAACTGAAGTTTTATACATTTTAAACATGTATTGGCTGTTAAATTTCTCCTTTGTGAGTTATCTAATCCTGCCTTTGCCTGATTTTTCTATCGGAGTTCATGTTTTTCTTGATTTCTTCATTAAGGACATTAACCTTTTGTCTGCCTATTTTTGCAAACATTTTCCTTAATATGTCATTTTCTTTTATGCCTAGTGGTTTTTCCTGTCCTAAATTTCATAAAAGATCACCATTAAAAAAACATTTATTTCTGGACTTTTGTTTCCCTTCTGGTAGAGATGCTGGGTGAAGGCAGGCCTTCCCTGCCCCGGGAGTGAGCCTGCAGTGTTGACCACGACCTGGGGCGGCAGGAGCCCCCCAGCAGGGCCAACTCCCTCATCTCCAGCCGCACAGCGAGGTCCCCCGGGGGGTCTGAACAGCAGGCCATGCCACTGCGTGACAGAAGGGGTCACTGGAGAAACCTCTGGGAGGTGACACCCAGCTTTCCAAAGTCCAGGCTGCCTTTCCTCCTTCAGGCCAGAGGCCCTCCTGTCGCAGCAGGAAGAGAAGAGGCAGGGGCCTTGGCTTGGCCCTCTTGCCTCTAGTCCCCACAGCCGTTCTCCCTAACCTGGCGCCATCACCAGAACCCCACGCTGTGCCTGGGCCGAGGCTGCGAGGCGCACGGGCCAGGTGCACACCTGAGCCCTGTGCTGCCGACGCCGGCAGCTGACAGGAGAGCCAGACGCGGAGCACACGAGACTCCAGGGGACACGGGGTTTGACACTGTAGGGCTGTCACAGCCCAGGCAGGTGGAGAACAGGCCAGGGGTAAAGTTCACTGCCTTTGAAGGCAGGAGAAACAAATACTCAAGGGGTTCATTTTTACTTCCCGCAAAAGGACACCTATTAGGAAGGAAGCAGACCACACACACTTAAGTTTGCTGTGATGTGAAGATGAACGAGGAAAGTACGAAAATGCCCTCACCTCTGAGTGCACTGTCATTGGCACCGAAGAAAATCGTCACTGCCACCGGGCTGTCCAAAGCACTCCCTTTCCTGACTAACCTCGGAAGGATAATTTTGGCCCACCTAGTATTATAGCCTGAAAATCCACGGTTCAGAACATCGCATTTTCTGAAATGAAAAATTAAAATGTAAAGCCGAGTTGCAGACAAAACCGTTCCCAGTCCCGTCACCAGCCGCTGGCGAGGGTGTGCGCTCCGGGCTGTGATGCTCCGCTCTGCCCGCCCGGCTTTCTCTCTGGTAAGAGCAACTGCATGAAATGTGCTGTTCTTGTCATTCAGATAGAGGTGAATCCATCCTATCCTCTATAAGACAGTGATGAATAATTACCGATGAAAAGGTGGTGATTTACCCGCCGGTGTGGCTCAGGGCTGAGCATCGTCGACCCTGCACCAAGAGGTCCCGGTTCGATTCCCGATCAGGGCACATGCCCAGGTTGTGGGCCCGATCCCCAGTGGGGGGCGTGCAGGAGGCGGCCAATCGATGTTCTCTCTCATTAATGTTTCTATCTCTCTCGCCCTTTCCCTTCCTCTCTCAAAAAAAAAAAAAAAAAATCAATAAAGAAAAAATTAAAAAAAAAAAGTGGTTATTTATTCCGCAGACCAGCTGATTTCATGCACGGACAGGGGGACCTTTTCAAATGGAGTTTACAGGAGACAGGTACTAATCCAAGCAAGTATTATAAGTAGAAAATCACTAATAAGCTGGTACTCAAATGTAACTATTTTTAGGGGGAAGTGTATAGAGTATTTTTGAGACTTTTATAGACATAGAACATGCACAGCCTCTCCACTACCAACATCCCCACCAGAGTAGTGGAACGTTAGTTACAAGCGGCAAACCCATTTTCATCCGTCATTATCACCCAATGGTTCTGCTTTGATTAAATAATTTTAATAGGCATATTAGTTGTGTTTCAGTTTAAACCAGGTCATTCACAGGCATTTTCCTCCTAAAAACTATAGGCTTTGATTCCCAGCACCGTGTGGTCTAATGAGAACACAAACTACAGCTGGAATCCCAGTTCCATCAGTTGTAGCCGTGACCACGGGTGTGTTTGCAGATGTTTGAAGTTGTCCATAATAAAATGTTTTCAGAATGAATCTTGGAGTTCAATTTATAATTAGCAAGTTGATGTGGTTCATTTTGGTGCAGAGTTCACATGTCCACATACAAGCAACGCAGGGGAGAAGCTAGGGCCCCGGGGGGGTGGGGAGGGCAGCTGCGGGTTCCTGACCGGCCAGGGGCCTGGCTTCGCCCTTCGCGGGGGAGCGCCGGGCACAGGACGGAGGGCCGGGCACGCGGGAGCCCGGGACAGGAGGGAGGGCCGGGCACTCGGGAGCCCGGGACAGGAGGGAGGGCCGGGCACGCGGGAGCCCGGGACAGGAGGGAGGGCCAGGCACTCGGGAGCCCGGCACAGGAGGGAGGGCCGGGCACTCGGGAGCCCAGGACAGGAGGGAGGGCCGGGCACTCGGGAGCCCAGGACAGGAGGGAGGGCCAGGCACTCGGGAGCCCGGCACAGGAGGGAGGGCCGGGCACGCGGGAGCCCGGGACAGGAGGGAGGGCCGGGCACTCGGGAGCCCGGCACAGGAGGGAGGGCCGGGCACGCGGGAGCCCGGGACAGGAGGGAGGGCCGGGCACTCGGGAGCCCGGGACAGGAGGGAGGGCCGGGCACGCGGGAGCCCGGGACAGGAGGGAGGGCCGGGCACTCGGGAGCCCGGCACAGGACGGAGGGCCGGGCACTCGGGAGCCCGGCACAGGACGGAGGGCCGGGCACTCGGGAGCCCGGCACAGGACGGAGGGCCGGGCACTCGGGAGCCCGGCACAGGACGGAGGGCCGGGCACTCGGGAGCCTGGCACAGGAGGGAGGGCCGGGCACTCGGGAGCCCGGGACAGGACGGAGGGCCGGGCACTCGGGAGCCTGGCACAGGAGGGAGGGCCGGGCACTCGGGAGCCCGGGACAGGAGGGAGCCTCGCCCAAGCCGCGCTCAGGCTCCTGCGCAATGACCCTAAGAGCCTGACGAGCATTACATTCCACCCACGACGCTCGCAAACGGAACGCTGCTGAATTTTGACAAGGTGAGTCCTAAAAAGTGAAGATATATCAATACATTTTCAAAGGTTTAAATCTTATTTGAATATAAAAGATGTCACTATGGACACAATTACATGCAGCCGTCCCTCGCCACCTCCGGCTTTCGCGGCTAGGCTCTGTCCCGGTTTTTTCAAATATATCCATCCAAAAGGTGATGGAGACAGTGAAAGTGATACAGCGCGTGCTCGGTTGTCTGAGTCAATGACACACCCCTGTATTACAGTGACAATGAAAATGACTGTACGTGTGAACTGTAGGCCTGTGTATCCGAGCGCCCCCCGGAATCCTTCCCCGCAGGTGCAACTGCTCGAGTCTGGACCGGATTAACCGCGACTATCGAGGGACGATGTATTTGAAAGGTGCCTCCAGCCACGCAGGCAGCACAGGAAGGCGTGTAGTTAGGTGTCTTAGTGTCTTTCAGGTTTGGAGATGAGGTTAAATTAAAACAGAATCAGCTGAGGTCCGTGCCGATGCTGAAGCAGACATCAGGGCTTAGGTGTGCCCAGATCCACCCTAAGTGTTAACAGGGCTACACACTGGATGTGCCCATCGGAAGGGCAACCGCTGGGCACGGAGCAGAGAAGTGTCGGCTCTGCTGCCGAATGAGAAGGGGGCGGATTACATTAAAAATCAATCAATAAAAAATAACAATGCCCTGGCCGGTGTGGCTCAGCGGTTAGTGTCGGCCCATGGACCAGAGAGACCTGGGTTCGATTCCAGCCAAGGGCACATGCCTTGGTTGTAGTTGGTCCCCGGCCCTGGTTGGGGTTGTGTGGGTGGTAACCAATCGATGTCTCTCTCACATCAATGTTTCTCTCTCTCTCCCTCTTCCTCCCTCTCTGAAGATAAACGTACAAACATCCTCAGGTGAGATTTAAAAAATAAATAAATAAAAGAGGAGGGGGCTGGAAGCATTTGGCTGCTCAGCAAGGAAGGCAGATGGCGCCTCCCATACCAGTCACCCCTCCAGCGTCCCTGTGAGGTGACCGTGTCCCAACACCTCCCAGCTGCTCCCGGAGATCTGCCTGATGGAAGAACGTGGCTCAGCAACCTGAAGTGAGTATCCCCTCCGCCCGGCCTCTCCCTTCTGCTCCACCGGGGAACCTCAGGTCACAACAGGCTCTCGTGAGCCTGGAGACGAGGGTGCCAGGAGGGGAAGGGGCGCTCTGTGGGTGCGGCCTCACAGCGAATCGCCCCGCTGCCTCCTCGCGGGGTCGGCCAGTTCTGTGCTCGCCCCGCAACACGATGCTTTTAAGAAGGTACATAGATCAGGCACAACCAACCAGACCAGAAGACCAAGTGGGAGGCAGCGTGAGTGCTCTCAATTCCGAAAACAACGAGCTTCTAGTTGCGTGGCCTTCCAGCACTGACAACTGTGAGCTATCAACTGCCAAGGTTTTCGTGCTAAACTCAACTATTCATGCAACATGTTGGCGAAACATCTGAAATGCCTGCAGCGCTTCCGGCCATCTGAATAATTAGCTTTTCAACGTCTGACCCTTCAGAAAAGGTTAACGGACGTTGGGTTAGTCCAGGGAAAGCACCGGCCCTGCTCCGGACAGGTGATGACCCGCGGAGCACAGACCGGCCCTGCTCCGGGCAGGTGATGACCCGCGGAGCACCCACCGGCCTCCCAGCAGAAAGCAGGTCCCTTGTCATCCCCGGAGCCAAGCCAGCTGCCCGACTTAGCTGCGCTACCTGGTCCCTGACCCTCTGCACCTGGCTGTTGTCAGCTACCCCGTGGGGAGGGCGACAAGTCACTCCACACTGCAGAGTGGTGCAGAGCGGTGACACAAGGCACACGAAGCGCCTCGAAGCCTCTCGGGCACCTGGTGGGCATTCCGGAGACGTCAGCTCTTACACCCCGGCCTCCACTCCACATTTTACAGACGAGAACACTGAGGAATGAGAGGGCACCTTCATGTTTTAGATTAAGTCCTCTTAAACAGAGAGAGCATTTAAGACTAGAAAAAGCAGAAAGGTCTCCATTTTACATTTTCTAGTTTGGGGATAAAAATAAAAGAGAAAGATGCTAAGTGAAATAAGCCAATCAGAGAAAGACAAATACCACATGATCTCACTTATTTGTGGAATATAATGAGCAAAATAAGCTGATGAACAAATTAGACCCAGACACATAGAAAGGAGTACGGTTCGCACTGACAAACCTCAGGGAAGGGGGGTTGGGGGGAGGGATGAGATAAACCAAAGAACTTATATGCATGTATGCGGAACCAATGGACACAGCAACAATGCTGGGGCGGGGGGGGGATCGGGAGGAGGGTGTCTAGGGGGGAAAGAGGAGAAACATCTGTAACAAAAAGAAATTAATTAAAAAATAAAGGAGAGAGGGAAGACTTTTTGAAGCACATTCCACATTTAGAAATGAACCACATTTCTTGCGGTGTTAGTTGTGCTGCTGAGAAATGATCACGTGATGAGCTGGTAGCACATCCGCTTGTTTCATGGGGAGGAGGAAAGGCCAAGTTCCCCATCACTTTCCTGATGCCCCGAACACAAATACTCGTGTCTACTGTTCACAGCGTGGTGAACGTTTCTAAATATCTATGTGAACCTCTTGAATCAGGAACTGTTTCCCTGTTAATGAATTCCTTAGCACATACTTAAGTCTGACAAATAAGTACCAAAATCATCCCTGTTTCTGATGTGTTTTTTTAATCCTCACCCGAGGACATTTTTTGTTCAGATAGAGCGGGAGGGAGAGAGAAACATCGACGTGAAAAGTACACATTGAGTGGCTGCCACCTGCACGACCCAACCAGGGCCGGGGACAAACTGCAACCGAGGTACATGCCCTTAGCGGGAACCGAACCCGGGTCGCTCAGGACCGCAGGCCGACGCTCTAACCGCTGAGCCAAACCGGCCAGGGCTCTGATGTATTTTATAAAGAGATATTTGGAGGGGGAAAAAACCTCTAACCAAACTTTGGGTGAAGAATATATTCTGCTTTCTTTCAACTGAACTTACTGGTCACTTAAGTCATACCCACCATAATAACTGAAAAAGAACTTGTCACCTTTAGTGCAAGGTTCTTGTTTCTGAACCCTGAGGACCTGCCCTTCCTCCTCTCTAACCCTACATATAGACTAGGAAAGGCCCTCGAAGACTGAAAGAGTATTCTGAAGGGTACTTTTCACTCTCTGCTCCGGAGATGCAATTACATTTCCCACCAATAAACACTCAAGCACTGGCTCTGGCCAGGTAGCGCGGTTGGCTAGATCGCAGTCCGGAGACAAGGTTGCAGGTGCCATCCCGTCAGGGCACAGACAAGAATCAACCAGTGAATGCATAAGTAAGTGGAACAACAAATCAATGTTTCTCTCTCCCTTCCTTTTCGAGATCCATAAATAAAATTTAAGAACATATTTTTAAAAACAGACACTCAAGTATCACAGAGAAACTGTGCTCACCTGACCAGCTTGTCAGCCAGGGACGCACCCCATCCACCCTGCTGGAAAGAAAACTGCAGAAAGAAAAGCCCATTAGTACCTGTCCACGTAATTAGGACATTTCAGTCAACAGGGGAGTGTTGGTCAGCAACCCCCCTTCTGTTCCCTTTGCCACTTGGCTTTCACTCTGCTTTGCTCGGGGGTCACTTGGGGGATCACTACACCTCAGGGGAACTCTGGACACGGGAGGTAGGTTTCTTCTCTGTTGGACTTGAGCCAGCGGCAGGCATTGTGTTGGGACCTGTTTAACATTCTCACTGTCACCTAGGAAAGCTACTGATGAAACCGAACGGAGGTAAGATCCACTGTGCGCTCGGCTGGGAACTGAAGTCTCGCTGAACGACCTTTCCACGGTTGAAAGAATGAGACAATTGGCGCAGAACTCGGGGTGAGCGGCCTGGTGCCCATTCCTGGGGAGTCTGGAAAGCTTACTGCCCGGTGCCCGGACCTGTTAACAAATGACTGGCATCTACACGGAAACGACCGAGGAAGTCGGGTCTGAAAGGTGGGGAAGAAAACCCACGGGAGAGTCATTTTTAAAACGCGCTCCCCTCTCTTAAGAAAATGTATTTCCTGCCCTGGCCAGTTTGGCTCAGCGGTTAGAGCGTCGGCCTGCGGTCCGGAGCGACCCGGGTTCGGTTCCCGCTAAGGGCACGTACCTCGGTTGCAGTTTGTCCCCGGCCCTGGTTGGTCGTGCGGGTGGCAGCCACTCGATGTGTCCCTTCACGTCGATGTTTCTCTCTCTCTCTCTCCCTCCCACTCTACCTGTACAAAAAATGGAAAAATATCCTCGGGTGAGGATAAAAAAAAAAAAAAGAAAATGTGTTTCCGAAGGTCCCCCCTTATTGTGAGCTGAAACGATCCGGGATGAAGCCCGATGTCCCCGGGATTCTCCGAGGCATTGTCTTCGCGGCCTCTGCGCCCGAGGGGACCGGCTCCGTGTTCCCCGCCTGGGCCCCGAGCGCCTGCAGCCCGCGCGGCGGAGCAGAACCGCCACCGCCGGGGAGACACGGGGACCGCGCCCCGACTACACCCGGCGGAACGGTCGCGGGAGAGCGGCGACCTCGGGGACCCGCGCGCGGTCACGCCCGGGGCCGGGGGCCACGCAGGCTGTTACCGCGGCCGCCGGAGCGCAGGGCCGCGACGCCCGCCGAGGTCGGGTGACTGACGCGCGGGGAAACGGGTCCGCGTGCGACACGACGGCCGTCGGCGAGGGAGCCCGGCGCGCCCGGCAGAGCCGCCCTACGAGGGCCGAGTCGGGGCCTGCAGGCGGGACGGGGCCGAGCGGCGGTACCTGGGTGATGGAGTCTCCGAAGAGCAACACCCGAGGCCAGCGCAGAGGGCTCCCGCTGCCCAAGCCCTCGCACAGCGCCATAGCCCGGCGGCCGACGGAGGAAGTCGGCCGGATGTCCGGGCGGGGCGAGCGGCCGGCCGGGGGCGGGGCGAGCGGCACGGGGCGGGGCGAGCGGCCGGGGGCGGGGCGAGCGGCACTGGGTGAGGCGAGCGGCCGGGGGCGGGGCGAACGGCACTGAGTGAGGCGAGCGGCCGGGGGCGGGGCGAACGGCACTGAGTGAGGTGAGCGGCCGGGGGCGGGGCGAGCGGCACTGGGTGAGGCGAGCGGCCGGGGGCGGGGCGAACGGCACTGAGTGAGGCGAGCGGCCGGGGGCGGGGCGAACGGCCGGGGCGGGGCGAGCGGCCGGGGGCGGGGCGAACGGCACGGGGTGAGGCGAGCGGCCGGGGCGGGGTGAGCGGCCGGGGGCGGGGCGAACGGCACTGAGTGAGGTGAGCGGCTGGGGGCGGGGCGAACGGCCGGGGCGGGGCGAGCGGCCGGGGGCGTGGTGAACGGCCGGGGGCGGGGCGAACGGCACGGGGTGAGGCGAGCGGCCGGGGCGGGGTGAGCGGCCGGGGGCGGGGCGAACGGCACTGGGTGAGGCGAGCGGCCGGGGGCGGGACGAGCGGCACGGGGTGAGGCGCCTGCGCAGTCCGACGTCCTCGTCTCGCGTCCTGCATCCCCTTCCAGTCGGGGCACCGGTACGTCCCGGGGCTCCTGGAGCAGGGCTCCTTTGGCGGCCACCGGCCATGTTCCCAGTTGCCTCTAGGAAAGCTCACGTTTTGCGCGTTTACTAAAGCTCGACTCTTCCCGAGTCGTCAGGCGCGGCAGCGACGATGCCCTCGCGGAGCCCCCCGCCCCCCGGAGACACGAGACCGGGACGGAGGGCCGCCCGAGCCGCGCACCTGCCTGCCTCTGGCCGGTGTCGCCGGTCCGTTCCCAGCGACAACGCCGAGACGAGGGCGGTTTGGCGCCGTCAGAGGCCGCACCCCCGACGCCGGGTGGAGGGCACGGGCAGGAAGGACCGTGCGGCCCTCGCCGCCAAGCTTTATCCTTGTTTCTGTGCGTGATGACCGGCGCGGCCACGGGGGCCACGGATGAGCAGCCTGTTGGCGCCAAGGTCCCAGGGCTAGTCTCCAAGGAAGCGGACCCCAGCCTGCAGGCCTCTGGCTCCCGGAGACCGGCTCGCCTTGACGGAGGAAAACCGGGCCGTTGGCCCGCTCCCAGGTGGCTTTCAGAGCAGACTCGCCGACTCGCACCCAGCACCCTCCAGCGAGGGCGCCCCCTTCCGGCTTGGTTCTGCCTGCCCGCTCCCGCTCCTGAAGTCCCTGCCTGCGCTGTGACGTTAAGATGGTCTTCGTGACCAGAGTCCACCTTCTCGGGCTGCTGCCTCTTGAATAAACTGGATCTTCCTTCCATCAGCTCCTATCGGCTGGTTATTGGCTTTGGAGTCACCGCGGGATTCGTCCGCCCACAACCATCCCTTGTTAAACGCGACCGTTTATGGAAGGTTTTGACCTCTTAGAAAACAATTTACTCGACATTTGCTAGACGGTAGGGCAGCCGACTCCGAGGACACTGCCATGGGGTCTTGCCTAGGGCAGCCGGATTAAGCTCAACTCTGAGTACAGCAAAGTGGGGATTCATACCAAGGAGCGGGGAGGGGGCAGGTGGGTGCAGACTTACTAAGGTAGGGAAAGTTCACTGAACTTACTCAGCAGGATTTTTGTTGAAGGTGGGCCAGTAGACAAGATACGGAGGGTGGGGGACGAAGAATTTGAGCAGAGACCCAGCATGATCAGACCAAGGGTGGTTTCTAAACCGACTTCATAGGCTTTTTGCTAAAACTGGACTAGGGGCCAAGGAGAGGGCTCAAGGTGGGGCCCTAGTCAGAGAAGCCTGACTCATTTGTTCAAAGTCCGTGTCACCTCAACCACAAGTGTGATGGTCATGAAAACAAGCCAGAGGTGTATCTTGAAATAACTGCGTTTCAGGTGAAAACCAGAAGGGCCAGGGCAGCAGTGCATGGTAGAAAGGCCGGCATACCTTTCGTGTGGCTTGGAAGTGGGGTGTCTGGCAGAGAGTGACCCAATTTTTAGGCTGGTAGTTCTTTGGCTTCAACTAGAATCACGTGGGGAGCTTTAAAAGCGTGCTGCTAGGGGACCCTCACCCCAAACCAAACACCTGATGGTAACGTGGGCGTGTGTAATGCTCCCCAGGTGACTCCATTGTGCAGCCAAGGTTGAGAACCCGGTAGGCCAGGCTCAGGTGTTTGGACTCCATCCTAATTACCACGAAGCCTGGATTTCAGCAGGAGAGGTTTGCATTTTAGAAACCAACTACAAGCAGACTTCGTTTTATTGCGCTGCACAGACGTTGCATATTTTACAAACTGAAGGCAAAACCCTCCAACCAGCAAAAAGATTACAATAGTTGAATGAGGTGGTCTGGGACTGAACCCACAATGTCTCCAAGGTTTGCTTCTGTATGTGGCAGGAAGCAGGAGGAAGACAATGACTTGGACTCAAAGAGCTGCCCTGGGGGGAAGATGGGCAGATTCAAGAGCAAATTAGAATCCTTACCGCAGATTGGTGACCTCGGAGAGGGGGAGGGGAAGGACACATTCCCTTTTTGCTGTATATATTCTGTATTAAGATATTATAGGTGAAGCCCTGGCCACTTTTGCTCAGTGGTTAGAGCATCAGCCTGTGGACCCAATGAGTCACAGGTTTGATTCCGGCCAAAGGCAAACACCTGGGTTGCGGTTCATGGTCAGGTCATGTGGGAGGCAACCAGTAGATGTGGGTCTATCACACTGATGTTTCTCTGTGTCTCTCTCTTTCTCCTTTTTTCCCTCCCACTCTATCTGATGATAAATAGAAAGTATCCTCAAAGTAAGAATTAAAAAAAAAAAACAAAACAAAAAGATATTACAAGTATATTTTTGGTAGCTTAAAAATGTTTGAAGCCCTGGCCGGTTTGCTCAGTGGTTAGAGTGTTGGCCCACAGTCCAGAGTCACAAGTTTGGTTCCCACTAAGGGCATGTACCTCGGTTGCAGTTTGTCCCCAGCCCTGGTTGGGGTTGTATGGGTGGCAGCCACTCGGATGTGTGTCTCTCACATTGATGTTTCTCTCTCTCTCTCTCTCTCTCCCTCTCTCCCTCCTGCTCTATCTGAAGATAAATGCAAAAATGTCCTCAGGTGAGGATTAAAAAAAAAAAAGTTTCAAAAAGTTATAATGAATTTAAAAAATCTTACACGACCCCTAGACCTTTAATTTGGGCCAAGACAAAAGAAGTAGGCTACATTACAGGAATAAATGTATTTCATGTCACGTAAAAAAGTCAGATTTACGAACTGAAGTTTGTCATCAAATTGCAGGGAAGGTGTGGTCAATGGTTATAGGATATAAGTCACCCAGAGGTGAAGCAAGGTAGGCTAAACAGTGCGGATGGAATTTAGTGGCTGGATAGCTGTCTTTAGCTAGACGGTGAGTGTACACACCTATTCTGTTAGGCTGTGAGGGGAGGAGCTTGCTCATGCACAGGCCCTCTCCCTCTGCAGAGGTAACAATCAGACCTTTTCGTTGATGTAGATGCCAAGTAGCCTCTAGCAGGGGTGACCTGCTCCCTTGGCAACAGCTCCAAACACACCTGTGTTGTTATTTGCAAGTCTGAATTACATGTACTTCAGGAAGCTGGACTGTTAATTAATTTATATATAAAACAATTCAACAACTGACACCTGTATACTCTTAAACTTGAGCCATAAAAATTATATTCTTTGTATCTCTGAATTGAATATGTAAGCTATTAAACAAAGAAAATATTGGATGCCAAAAGTCATAATTTTACAAATGTAGAAATTAAGGAACTTGGCAAGAGTATTAGAAGGGAAGAGACAGAAAAGGGGCTTAAAAGTTTTATGTGATCTCAAATTATTCAAATTTAGAATATGGATATGAAAATACAAGTTACTGTGTATTTTCTTAAAAAGTATTTTATATGTATACATGTATATAAAATCTTCACCCAAGTATATGTTTTTATTGACTTTTAGAGACTGACAGGGGAGGTAGGGGGAGAAAGAGAGGGAAACATCAATCAGGCTGCCTCCTGTACATTCCCCGACTGGGGACTGAACCCACAACCTGGGCATGTGCCCTGATCAGGAACTGTGCTCCAACTAGTGGGTGCTATGAGCCACCTGGCCAGGGTGCTATGAGCAGATATTTAAAGTTTTATTGGGAGCTGCACACGTGCCTAGAAGTGGAATCAATAAATTCTAAAGTAACAGTTTACTCAGCAGTTCTGAAGTAATGGACAAACATAGTTGATAATTTACTGGTATGCAAGCTGTTGGAATACAAACCACTGGACGTCCAAAATAAGTAGGCTACCCAAGAAATGAATGTATTTCCCTTCCGGTAAAGAAGTAAATTCAAGCATTACAAAAACGTTCCAGCATATCCAGACACAAGGTTCTCAGTGAACTGGCGTAAGGGCCTCGTACAGTCTCTGTGCAGCCAGTTCCACCATTTCCCGGAGAGACTCGTCGTCTTCACTCCCTTCCTCACACTCCACAGCCTGCAGGTGAAAGCACAGATGTTACTATATGGGAGATGAACTAACTCTTCCAGAACACTCATCTCCTAGAGGGAGAGGCCCCGCAGCCTGCAGGTGAAAGCACAGACGTTACTATATGGGAGATGAACTAATACTCTTCCAGAGCACTCATCTCCTAGAGGGGGAGGCCCAGACGTTACTATATGGGAGATGAACTAACACTCTTCCAGAGCACTCATCTCCTAGAGGAGGAGGCCCTACAGCCTGCAGGTGAAAGCACAGACGTTACTATATGGGAGAGGAACTAACACTCTTCCAGAGTACTCATCGAACTAACACTCTTCCAGAGCACTCATCTCCTAGAGGGGGAGGCCCCGCAGCCTGCAGGTGAAAGCACAGACGTTACTATATGGGAGAGGAACTAACACTCTTCCAGAGCACTCATCTCCTAGAGGGGGAGGCCCCGCAGCCTGCAGGTGAAAGCACAGACGTTACTATATGGGA